ACAGAAACGCTCGGCGCGACAGAGGGCACTGTGTTTGTTCTTTAAATGCAACCAAACTTCGTACAGCCCCTCCCGTTCGCTGCCTGTAGCGGCTTTGAACCGTTTTCTGAGGGCATTCTTGTCTGCCCGACACTTCAGAATGTCCCTCTGCCCTCCTGCTAGTATTCTGCTTGGCACCCGGCTGTGCCTTTACTACTGTCCCGAACTCGCGGGAGCAGTGTTCATATATTACATCACCAAATTTAGTAAGCTTGTCGCCTAGCGACTTCTTGTTTAGAGTTTGTTTAAGTACCTCACATAATGTAGCCTCCAACTTACACCACACCACCTTCTCGCTCGCAGGTGGAAACCTGATTCTGGAACGCACTTCTTCAGAAATCATCAAAGGTGCTCCTCCGCAGTCGACGTCATGGGCCTCTCCGGGCGAGTGGGGTTCCCCCTGCCCGTCGTTCCCTAACGACTCAGAAACTACCACAGGAGTAGTAGTTTTGCGACGGCGTTTACTGCGTGGAGCACCCTCGCATTTCATTCTTCCGGCATGCGTTCTCAGACCATGCAACCCCGTGAAGCTTTTCCCACATGTACAGAGCCAGCCCGGACGTTGGGCGAGTGTCTCAGTCCGGGGGCTAGCAAGGTCGTCAACGAGGGTATCAATCAGATTGGGCCCTTCATTCTCCCCCCCTTTTGGAGGGCCCTGGGGGCATATTTCATTGTGGTTTAACGCAATCGGAGGTATTATACTGTGTTAGGGGTGATCAACCCGGTCCACAGTCGACATCTGTCTCCAGATGTCAGTTTATCCCCCCGGCGATACCGGGGGGCCAGTCTTTCCATAGGTGTCAAAAGGACTTTCCCGATAGTCTTTCCTGGTAGTCTTGTGGGCTAGCCACGTACAATAAGAATAAACTCACAGGGAGCAAGTACAGCGGGGATCTACAGTCATCAGTAGAAATTATCCTCTTTCGACACACGTTTCGGCCCACGATTCCTAAACGTATTCGGAGGTGGGCCCACCTGAGTTCATGACACCCAGGGCTGCTTCCCCGCTGCACAGATTACCGGATGGTGTTATACTTTCGGCCAGAGACAAGACGACTTAGTGGTTTCGAAGGAGGTACTGTGAGATAAGAAGTCGCCACGGCAGCTTAATTAGAACAGTCAGCGTGCCTGGACGACCGAGCGACAAGCTTACCTTGGTTTACCGGACACATATTGGACTGTTATTAGCAGTTGGCAGAGAGACACTGGCAGACAATTCGTACACGATGGACTTTTCAAAGGGATAAGAAACTCTTTTCCACTAGATACCCGGACCAGCTCACCGAGGCCCGTCCCCTACGTTGTTGCGCTGCGTCCACAACTAGCTGGATGCCGTTTCGGCCACCTCACCAAGTTTTTTGGGTGCTCGTTTCCGTTCATTACCGCGCAATCCTAGTTCTTTTACCACATTGTAGAGCGAAGTGGAAACGAGGCCTCTCGCTCCCACTTCGACGGCAAATACCCGTACTGTGTAAGCCTCGTCTCTCCTCAAACCGGCTGCTAAATCACTGTACTTTTCGAGCTTGTACAAGTGATTCTCCTCCATCCGCGACTCAAACGGGACCGTCAACTCAATCAGGATTGAGTAAGTAAAGTAAAGTAAAGGACCCTTTCCACGCCTTTAGGCAACTATAGGGCTAGACCTATATTTTTATAGACCAACAGCACAAGATGGGTGATGTGGTCAGCATCACGCCCGCCGCCTCTACTTCCCGGGATTGCACCCGGTACCCACTCAAGGCTGGGTCGACCTGGGAGCCAAGGTCATTTTTGAAGAAAAGTCCGTCTCCACCAAAGAGCGAACCCACGATGTAGAGTAAAACCTGGTACAATGTTGTCGATCTTCTTAGCTTTATCTTTTAGTCTCAGATTTTAATTTTGAATTATTTGTATCCAGGCCATGCCGGCGTGGTGAGTAAAGAACAGGCAGAGAGAATGGCTAGATCTGCACCATTGGGTGGTGAACTAAAACATGACAAGGCAAATATGGTCACAACCGTTTGGTAACAAGTAACGGAATCAGTAGAGATACTGCATTATTATGGCCTTGAGAGAATGAGGCACCTGGGTGTAACCAGCGGGTCTGGCCAGACTCAGAGGAAAGGCAAGACACACATATGACCAGATTGTGACCGGTACCATCAGTACTGGAACTCTGCGCTGGCTGCTGAAGATGAGGACGGAGCACACATGGAAATGCCACGAGTGCTGTGATGTCAATTCTTGACTCAACTCAACTCAAACCCAACTTAACAATTATATTTATTATGTTACAATGGAAACATGACAGCCAACATGACTAGATGGACTGAATAAAACAGGGCTATTCAACAAGTGTCCCGCGGCTAAGTCGATGCGAACGCTTCGTAAAGCCGGGATGCCGGGTTCGATCCCAGCTGCGGGCCATGCGCCTTGCGTTGGTTTTGACAGTGGTATCAAGAAAGCCGACAGTCCAGAAAGCAATGGCAAACTACTGGACATAAATATGCCTAGAAAAACCACACAACAGCCAGGGGCTGTTGAGGTTGGTTCTGCAACGACCTGTAAAGGATACACACTGCGTGAGTTTTTATCGTGGTATGGGGCGTCGCAGGTCGACCCAGCCTAATATAGGTACTAGGATGGCTGTCCTGGGGAAGTAAAGACGGCAGGCGTAATACTGACCACATTACCCATCTAGTGCCGATTGGTCTGTAAAATATGGGAGAGGAGCTCTTCCCATATGCCCGATACGCCCAAAGGCGTGAAAAGTGATCTCTACTTCTTTTTATTTATTCAAGTGGCCCGTGTAGTGTGTTAATGATCTTTCTATGCTGGGTCTCAGGCTTCTGATCCACCCATGACGATCCCCACTGTAAACATTTTGGTCCCTATGTAAAGTTAGCTTAACAGCCCTGGAATACACATCAGAAGATGAAAGGATGGGGAAAAACCTGGCCTTGACGTATACCCGGATGTATGGCAATATGACAGTATGCTAAATATGAAAGACAAATGAGGGCCGAAGGTTTCGACAAACAAAACACACACAAAAGTATATTTTGACCAATAACTGGCATATGGAATGTGTGAAATGAATATTATATGTGACCTGAAAGTATGCAACATATCACTCGTTTCTTTCTTTCTGTACATACTACCGTGTTTTCCCGAAAAAAAAGGGACATACCCCAAAAAGTAAGACAGAGATAAGCCAGGCTGTTGGAGTAGACACGCCACTGGTAGGCACTTGATAATGAACGGATGTGTTTCATAATTCATGGTAGGGGCCGCATTAGCGCAGTCGATATGAGAATTGCTTTCAAATCCAGCTGCGACTCGCTGCAGCCCACGCCCGGTGTTCGAAACCGGGCGGTTCCCAGGGTTCACCCAGCCTCTAGGTAATGGGTACCAGAGTTAACACTCTGGGGTAAATGGAGGAACGTCGCTGTGGCTACGGAGTTATGTGCGAACGGCGACACAGGCGGACAGTTTCTTATCAGCTGTCCGTACTGGTTGCAGAGCACTTATGGTTTATACCAGTGTGCAATGACGCTGGTTCACATCTCCCGTTTTTTCTTTATCTTTAAGGACCATTTTCCACGCCATTAGGCGTATAGGGCATGTAGGGCTAGACCTATATTTGCATAGACAAATAGGCACAAGATGGGTGAGGTGGTGGTCAGCATCACGCCAGCCGCCTTTACTTCCCAGGACTGCACCCTGTACCCACTCAAGGCTAGGTCGACCTGGGAGCCAAGGTCATTTTTGAAAAAAATCCGGTTCCGCTAGAGAGCGAACCCACGACCTTACCATCCGCGGCGAGCGTCTAGCCGCTCAGCCACGGCGACTCCCATCTCCCGACTTTCCCGTTACCTAATTCATGGTACATCACTCATGTAAGTCGATGTTCCTGAAGAAGATGACATGGCTATATAGGAATGAATGTAGATTTTTTTAACCTAAAAACAAAAATAAGACATCCCCCTTAAAAAAAAGCCCAAGTGTAGTTTTGAAGGAAAAATTAAAATAAGACTCAATTTTTGGGTGAAACACAATAGTAGCAAACTGCATACATACATGTACAAACATAGAGGCACACAATTTCAGTATGGCATCGTACCTTATCTTATCTAGTGCTTTCTGTAATATTTCACTAAATGTTTTCCTTCTGTCTGTCTGTCTGTCTGAGTGTCTGTCTGTCGGTCTGTCAGTCGGCCTGTCTCTCTCTCTCTCTCTCTCTCTCTCTCTCTCTCTCTTTTCGTGTAAACTCTATGGCTGTGTCTCTCTGTCTCTGTCTTTCTGTCTCTCTTTGTCTGTCTCTGTCTTTCTTTCTCCACCCCTCTCTCTCTCTCTCTCTCTCTCTCTCTCTCTCTCTCTCTCTCTCTCTCTCTCTTTAATTTCTCCATCCAGCACACTCCGACATCTTTCACATGATTCATTACTAGATAAATAACTTAGCATTTTTCTCCCATTTTTATGCTATTGAGAAGAATATGTGTTTACATTTTTTTTCAATTCTCGATCTCTCATACTTCTACTCTTTCATACTTCTCTCTCTCCCATTCTTCTCTACCTCTTACTGTCTGTTGCTCTCACTCTTATCTATCACACAGTCTTCACTTACTATGATCCTCCTCCATCTGTGACCCATACTAAACGAATCTCAGGAAACCTGAGAACATTTCAGCGTGTTGACAAACTCTGATCCAATCAATATACAGATTATACCAGTGATTCCCAAACTGTGCGCCGTGGTGTCCCAAGGAGCCGCGGCCTCTTCACAGGGGGGCCGCGAAATATTGTAAAAGCTTCATAATTCATTTAGCCAAGACTCGAACAGTCATACTTTTACATAGTTTAGGGCGCCTTGGAAAATTTGTAATTGAAAAAAGGCGCCGAGACCAAGACAAGTTTGGGAAACCTGGATTATACAATGATTTCTCCGTAGACAGCCATCACTGAATCTTTATCTCCGCCTGTCACAAATCCGTCTTGCCTCGCTGGTCAACCTGGGAGATGTTGGGGTTGTCTATCGCATGGAAGGCTTCATTTTCAAATGCCACTGGTTCCATGGTGAAGTGCTCCTTGTCGAAGTTATCCTCTCTAAAATCTTCTGGGTTGTTATCTATTTCTTTAGAATCTCTTTTTCTGTAAGGAAAACAATAAAATCATGGAGTTTAACCAATTTTGCGGAACTTTTAAATAAAGATTTTAGGAACAATAGGGTTTGCTTGTGCATATGTTGTTTGGGTTATGATTGTGATTCATGTTCATCTGTTATATGGTTTGTTCATTGTTCATTTAAAGAATTTTGTGATTGAAATTGTGATTGAAATTGTGATTGTAATTGACTCACAGAGCATGTTGAGAAAAGTGGAGACAGGCATGCTCCGTGCAGAGTCGCAAGCATTATTTTAGAAGCCCCTGCTAGATAGCATTCTTTGGATATTCTCTCCACGTCATGCCGGTTTGTTGGGAAATGAGCAGGCAGATAGACTGGCCGATTCTACACCCTTTGGAGGTAAATTGATGTAAGATAAACTAGACATTGTGAGAGCCCTCTGGGTGCGAGTGAACAGTGCGCAGGCACATATAGATCATTGCGACATGAAGAGAATAACGCTGCGAGGAGTTACCAGTAGATCTGGCCGACGCTAAACACCCAGGAGAAGGATGAGACGGATATACAATCAGACGGTTACTGGTGCCATCAGAATTGAAACTCTTCGTTTGTTGCCGAAGAAGTTGACCGAGCGCTTATGGGGCTGCCCTGAGTGCTATGATGAAGATTCTTAATTCAACATTCATTTGAAGATCAATTTTATCGCATACCGGACATGACCATAAGGTCTTCAATTTCCTCCTGAGTATGTCTCTTAGAGTTTTTAGGCTCACAACTCCCATTCTGTCCTGGTTGGTGTAACGACGGCAGAATCCGCATAAGGTTTGTACATATGTTGTGTGAATGGTATGTTGTATGAAGTGTATGTCTTATGCATATGTTGTGTGGTTTGTGCACACCAATTCAGCAGTTAACACCTGCGTACCCTGGCTAACCACTGTGTCTAACATTTTAACTATTGTTTCAGATAACATACAACTTTTTTTTAGAAGAAAACTGTGTTTCAGAACTGATTTCTGAGATGAAATACAACTTTTGGTTACACGAAAAGTGTTTTAGAACTGCTCTTTGAGATAACATACAACTTTTTGTTACCAAAAAAGTGTTTAAGAACTGCTGTTTGACAGACATATGACTTTTCTGCTAATCGAAAACAGTGTTTCAGAACTATTGTTTGACGTGATATACAACTCTTTTTTTTTTTTTTTTCAACCTGAAAACAATATTTCAGAACTACGTTATAAGATAATATATAATTACCTACCTAAAAACTGTTTTCAGACATAACAATTAGACAGTTCAAGTCAATGCACATGTGAGCAACAAGTGAACAAACACCCAAGCAACAAACATGAAAATGTACGGGAAGATCTCCTGACCTGGATTCCCAGCAGATACAGCAGAAGATACAGACGATGACCACAATCAGCAGCAGGGACAGGATGACGCCAACCGGGATGTACCAGGGCTGAAACACAAACACATGATTGCAGTTTATACCAGAAACAGAAAAGTAGGTGCTTTATTAATATCCTAACCCAAACAGGGAAAATCCACAGGTCAGGGGACAGACTAATATTTCAGGGGGTGGTAGATGAGCTGCATGCAGTCGTGGGACCTAGGCTGCATGCAGTCGTGGGACCTAGGCTGCACTCTCTCGTGGGACGTAGGTGGGTTGGGGTTAGGACCAGTTTTAGATGTTTTGGGGTCGTTAAAAGCATTAGCAAGCAGGGAAACCTAGTCTTACCACCCTCTAAAATGTTGGACTGTCCTATGACGTCATCTGGGTTAGGATATTCATAAAGCACCGAAATGTTAGTTGCGTATCCTTTACAGGATGTTGCAGAACCAACCCCAGCATTATTTTGGCTGTTGTGGTTTTTCTAGGCACATTTACGCCTATTAGTTTGCCATGGCTTTCTGGACGGTAGGCTTCGACTGTCGAAACTAACGCAAGGTACAAGGCTCGCAGATGGGATCGAAGCCGGCACCCGGGCACTACGAAGCGCGTTCGTAACGCCTACGCCACCTTCGCCGACTTCAGTTTATACAAATTCGGGATTTGATGTCATTCTCATGCATTGAGGTTTGAGGTTTGAAGTTTGAGGTTTGAGGTTTGAGGTTTGAACAACGGATCAACATCGTGACACACGGGCAGCAACCTATCAGTGCTCCGTTCTTCTTCTAGCTCAAGTCTGAGTCGGAAGAAGCTCAGCACAGTGCACAGGCTCTGTAGCACCGGCGAGGATCCTGAAATACTTTCGGTAGATTTTTAACTCCACATTTTTTTTTGCCCAGGCAGCGCTATTAGGCTACTCTTTTAGATTTTTAACTGCCAATAAAGTATCTACATGTGTAACAATGCACACGGGCGTCCGATCTCACTACCCAGAGACCAGGGGGAATTACTAGAAGTCCAAGTCCACGTGAACAAATCCCAGCCCTTGCTGTCGATTGAACACGGAACCTCTAGCACTCAAATGAATTATCCTCCATGACCCCACCATATAAAAAATTTCTTTTTATAAGCATTTGGTTGTACCATTTAATGTTACTCCAAACATATTTTTGTTAATGTCAATCATATAGTAATAATAATATTAATAATAATAATACTTCTAATAATAGTAACAACAATTAATAAAAATAATTTTATTATCGCACAGTTGTGAAATTAATTTTATGACAAGAAACTCGTCACACAAGGACAGCAGAAGTCAGGAAGTACGATCGCAAACAAGAGCAGCAACTTACAAATGGTGTCCCACTGTCGACAGTGCCCTCATTAGAATGGCCATCACCTCCGGACATGTGAATGTCAAGGTCATGATTTCGAAAATGGGTCTCTAGGACTTCATCGTCTGGCTGGAGAAGGTCCATGTCAGTGATGGAGTCCTCAAATCCTCCTTCGGGATCCACTGTGAATATAATAATCCTCTCTTGGTCTCTGAAATATCACAAATTAAAAACAATAATCATTCTCTTGTGGTCTCTAAAATATTACAAATTAAAAACAATAATCATTCTCTTGTGGTCTCTGAAATATCACAAATTAAAAGCAATAATCATTCTCTTGTGGTCTCTAAAATATCACAAATTAAAAACAATAATCATTCTCTTGTGGTCTCTAAAATATTACAAATTAAAAACAATAATCATTCTCTTGTGGTCTCTGAAATATCACAAATTAAAAACAATAACCATTCTCTTGTGGTCCTTGAAACATCACAAGTTAAAACAATCCTCTTTTGGTCCATGAAACAGTACAGGTTAAAACAATAAAATTCCTACTTGATCTCTGAACTATCATAATTCAGTAATATAACAATGCTTTCTTTTGAAATGCAATTCAAAATTTAACAATTATCTCTTAATTCTTTTTTAAAAAAAACAACCACAATTTTAAAATACAATTTTCCACTCTCAGACCCAAAATTGAAATATTTAAAAAAAATAAACACTCCTTTCTTGGTCGCAAGAAAACCGCAACTCAAAGAAAGGAACTGATTCAAATATTGCGTGCTCTAGTTTCAAAGCATGAACATGCAATGCCCTTGTACTGTTCTTTCTGGACTATCATTATTTTCTACAGTTTGTATCAATGTTTATGACAGTAATGTGCCCCAACTCTTGTCGTCTAAAGTCAGTTCTAAACAAAGGAATATGAAATCTGCTTACTGTAATGTTTATTATTATTATATTTGCCGTCCTTTTTAGGGTGCAATTTTTCGTTATTTGAAGCCCTACTCTGGCTCTTGCCAAGGGCCGCAATATAGCCTGGCCGCAAATATGGCCTAAAGGCTGAACGCGGTTTCTGGGACCTCTCCACGATGATCCTCACCCACATGGTGGCACATTGTGTCATCGGGTGTTTATCGCTTGTGTGATGTCCTGGTGGGGTAGAAAGTCAGTCAGTCAGTCTGCTCACTGTGTATGGTCCAGTTAGACTGGAAGCTTAATGCACGTTCCACACATCTCCATGGTTGCATGTTCCACACATCTCCATGGTTGCATGTTCCACACATCTTCACGGTTGCATGTTCCACACATCTCCACGGTTGCACGTTCCACACATCTCCATGGTTGCATGTTCCACACATCTCCATGGTTGCATGTTCCACACATCTCCATGGTTGCATGTTCCACACATCTTCACGGTTGCATGTTCCACACATCTCCACGGTTGCATGTTCCACACATCTTCACGGTTGCATGTTCCACACATCTTCACGGTTGCATGTTCCACACATCTTCACGGTTGCATGTTCCACACATCTCCATGGTTGCATGTTCCACACATCTTCATGGTTGCATGTTCCACACATCTCCATGGTTGCATGTTCCACACATCTCCATGGTTGCATGTTCCACACATCTTCATGGTTTTATGTTCCACACATCTACATGGTTGCATGTTCCACACATCTTCATGGTTGCATGTTCCACACATCTCCATGGTTGCATGTTCCACACATCTTCATAATGAAGTGAGAAAAGAAAAAAGAGAAGCATATAGAGACAGAAAAAGAGAAAGAGACACAGACAAAGGAGGACAGACAGACTGATAGAGAATGCGAGAAGCTGTACAGATTAGTTTAACTTTAGCCTCACTCACCTGGTCTGCTCTACTGTGTTATTCTCTAACGGAAGTATTGAGAGTATGTTCACTTTGACACCGCTGGTATAATCTGAGAGAAAAGAAAGCAAGTATTTACACTATGTACACATCCAGTCTGTCTCTCGAATTTGTCTACAGCTGTTCTGTCTATAAGCTTCATCTCTATCAGGTAGCTCCATCTATGACAGTTCTCTCTCTGACAGTTTCATATCTCAGCTCTGTCTGACAGTTCTATCTCTGTTTATCATTGACAGTTTTGTCTGGCAGCTAATCATTGACAGTTCTGTCTGTCAGCTAATCACTAACAGTTCTGTCTGTCAGCTAATCATTGACAGTTCTGTCTGTCAGCTAATCATTGACAGTTCTGTCTGTCAGCTAATCATTCACAGTTCTGTCTGTCAGCTAATCATTGACAGTTCTGTCTGTCAGCTAATCATTGACAGTTCTGTCTGTCAGCTAATCATTGACAGTTCTGTCTGTCAGCTAATCATTGACAGTTCTGTCTGTCAGCTAATCATTAACAGTTCTGTCTGTCAGCTAATCACTAACAGTTCTGTCTGTCAGCTAATCACTAACAGTTCTGTCTGTCAGCTAATCATTAACAGTTCTGTCTGTCAGCTAATCATTAACAGTTCTGTCTGTCAGCTAATCATTGACAGTTCTGTCTGTCAGCTAATCATTGACAGTTCTGTCTGTCAGCTAATCATTAACAGTTCTGTCTGTCAGCTAATCACTAACAGTTCTGTCTGTCAGCTAATCACTAACAGTTCTGTCTGTCAGCTAATCATTAACAGTTCTGTCTGTCAGCTAATCACTAACAGTTCTGTCTGTCAGCTAATCACTAACAGTTCTGTCTGTCAGCTAATCACTAACAGTTCTGTCTGTCAGCTAATCATTAACAGTTCTGTCTGTCAGCTAATCATTGACAGTTCTGTCTGTCAGCTAATCATTGACATAATCATTGACAGTTCTGTCTGTCAGCTAATCATTACCAGTTCTGTCTGTCAGCTAATCATTGACAGTTCTGTCTGTCAGCTAATCATTGACAGTTCTGTCTGTCAGCTAATCATTGACAGTTCTGTCTGTCAGCTAATCATTACCAGTTCTGTCTGTCAGCTAATCACTAACAGTTCTGTCTGTCAGCTAATCATTGACAGTTCTGTCTGTCAGCTAATCATTGACAGTTCTGTCTGTCAGCTAATCATTAACAGTTCTGTCTGTCAGCTAATCATTGACAGTTCTGTCTGTCAGCTAATCATTGACAGTTCTGTCTGTCAGCTAATCATTAACAGTTCTGTCTGTCAGCTAATCATTGACAGTTCTGTCTGTCAGCTAATCATTAACAGTTCTGTCTGTCAGCTAATCACTAACAGTTCTGTCTGTCAGCTAATCATTAACAGTTCTGTCTGTCAGCTAATCATTAACAGTTCTGTCTGTCAGCTAATCATTAACAGTTCTGTCTGTCAGCTAATCATTAACAGTTCTGTCTGTCAGCTAATCATTAACAGTTCTGTCTGTCAGCTAATCATTGACAGTTCTGTCTGTCAGCTAATCACTAACAGTTCTGTCTGTCAGCTAATCATTAACAGTTCTGTCTGTCAGCTAATCATTAACAGTTCTGTCTGTCAGCTAATCATTAACAGTTCTGTCTGTCAGCTAATCATTGACAGTTCTGTCTGTCAGCTAATCATTAACAGTTCTGTCTGTCAGCTAATCACTAACAGTTCTGTCTGTCAGCTAATCACTAACAGTTCTGTCTGTCAGCTACTCATTACCAGTTCTGTCTGTCAGCTAATCATTGACAGTTCTGTCTGTCAGCTAATCATTGACAGTTCTGTCTGTCAGCTAATCATTACCAGTTCTGTCTGTCAGCTAATCTCTAACAGTTCTGTCTGTCAGCTAATCACTAACAGTTCTGTCTGTCAGCTACTCATTAACAGTTCTGTCTGTCAGCTAATCATTGACAGTTCTGTCTGTCAGCTAATCATTGACAGTTCTGTCTGTCAGCTAATCATTGACAGTTCTGTCTGTCAGCTAATCATTGACAGTTCTGTCTGTCAGCTAATCATTGACAGTTCTGTCTGTCAGCTAATCATTACCAGTTCTGTCTGTCAGCTAATCACTAACAGTTCTGTCTGTCAGCTAATCACTAACAGTTCTGTCTGTCAGCTACTCATTAACAGTTCTGTCTGTCATCTAATCATTAACAGTTCTGTCTGTCAGCTAATCACTAACAGTTCTGTCTGTCAGCTAATCACTAACAGTTCTGTCTGTCAGCTACTCATTAACAGTTCTGTCTGTCAGCTACTCATTAACAGTTCTGTCTGTCAGCTAATCATTAACAGTTCTGTCTGTCAGCTAATCATTGACAGTTCTGTCTGTCAGCTAATCATTGACAGTTCTGTCTGTCAGCTAATCATTGACAGTTCTGTCTGTCAGCTAATCATTAACAGTTCTGTCTGTCTGCTACTCATTAACAGTTCTGTCTGTCAGCTAATCATTGACAGTTGTGTCTGTCAGCTAATCATTAACAGTTCTGTCTGTCAGCTAATCATTGACAGTTCTGTCTGTCAGCTACTCATTAACAGTTCTGTCTGTCAGCTAATCATTGACAGTTCTGTCTGTCAGCTAATCATTGACAGTTCTGTCTGTCAGCTAATCACTAACAGTTCTGTCTGTCAGCTACTCATTAACAGTTCTGTCTGTCAGCTACTCATTAACAGTTCTGTCTGTCAGCTAATCATTGACAGTTCTGTCTGTCAGCTAATCATTGACAGTTCTGTCTGTCAGCTAATCATTGACAGTTCTGTCTGTCAGCTAATCATTGACAGTTCTGTCTGTCAGCTAATCATTAACAGTTCTGTCTGTCAGCTAATCAATGACAGTTCTGTCTGTCAGCTAATCATTGACAGTTCTGTCTGTCAGCTAATCATTGACAGTTCTGTCTGTCAGCTAATCATTGACAGTTCTGTCTGTCAGCTAATCATTGACAGTTCTGTCTGTCAGCTAATCATTGACAGTTCTGTCTGTCAGCTAATCATTGACAGTTCTGTCTGTCAGCTAATCATTGACAGTTCTGTCTGTCAGCTAATCATTGACAGTTCTGTCTGTCAGCTAATCATTGACAGTTCTGTCTGTCAGCTAATCACTAACAGTTCTGTCTGTCAGCTAATCATTGACAGTTCTGTCTGTCAGCTAATCATTGACAGTTCTGTCTGTCAGCTAATCATTGACAGTTCTGTCTGTCAGCTAATCACTAACAGTTCTGTCTGTCAGCTAATCATTGACAGTTCTGTCTCTCAGCTAATCGTTGATGGTTTCATCTGTCAGCTCTATCTGAGAGTTCAATCTCTCAGCTAATTATTGTATAGTCCTGTCTGTCAGTTTCAGTTCTGACAGCTCTGTGTGTTAGTTCTATCTCTGAAAGTTATGTCTATCATTTCTATCCAGTTCTCTCTGTCATTTCTATTTCAGACAGTTCTGACACTCAGTTTTGTGTCTGACAATTCAATTTTTAAGCTCTATCTGACAGTTCTGTCTGTCTGTTCTTCTTCTTCTGCATTCATCCGAAAATGGTGTGATTGCGTTGTGCCGGTTTACATCATAGCTGCAATATTTGGGCCTTTCAGCTGACACATCTGACTACTGTAGGCGTTTGTTGACCGGGTTAACCTTCCCCTGACTGCTTCAGGCATTTGTTGACCGGGTTAACCTTCCTCTGACTGCTTCAGGCATTTGTTGACCGGGTTAACCTTCCCCTGACTACTGTAGGCATTTGTTGACCGGGTTAACCTTTCCCTGACTGCTTCAGGAATTTGTTGACCGGGTTAACCTTTCCCTGACTGCTTCAGGAATTTGTTGACCGGGTTAACCTTTCCCTGACTACTGCAGGCATTTTTTGACCGGGTTAATTAACCTTCTCCTGACTGCTTCAGGCATTTGTTGACCAGGTTAACTTTCCCCTGACTACTGCAGGCATTTTTTTGACCGGGTTAACCTTCCCCTGACTACTGCAGGCATTTGTTGACCAGGTTAACTTTCCCATGTCTGCCAGTTCTGTCTCGGACAGTTGTGTCTGTTGGTTCTGTCTGTTAGTTCCTCAATGGGTGGACTACAAAAAGGTTAAGAAAATTCAAATACACTAAAGATACCAGCAGCAGATCAAGCAGACGTAAAACTAGAGATAAAAGTAATTTAAGTAACAGATCAATTTACGTATTCAAACAATAATTTTGATAGTGAAGGAAGTTATTAAAAAAAAAAAGATTATGAGATGCACTGACAAGGTAAAAGCAGTTTTTAACATCTTGAACAAGGTATGGAACTCTAAAACTGTGTAGTTTTAGGACGAAGTTATGCATTTCCAATTCTAAGTTTATTTCAGTTTTGACATGTGCAAGTGAAAGTTGGAGAGCCACTAAGGACAAGGAACGAAAGATAAATGTATTCAAAAACAACTGTCTGAATAAAATGATAAAAATAAAATGGGATGAACTGAAAAGGATTGAAGAAATAAGAAAAATGTCTGGACAACCACTAGTATCAACAGTTATAAGACAGAGAAGATGTCTGGGCAACCACTAGTATCAACAGTTATAAGACAGAGAAGATGTCTGGGCAACCACTAGTATCAACGGTTATAAGACAGAGAAGATGTCTGGACAACCACTAGTATCAACAGTTATAAGACAGAGAAATGTCTGGACAACCACTAGTATCAACAGTTATAAGACAGAGAGATGTCTGGACTACCACTAGTATCAACAGTTATAAGACAGAGAAGATGGCTGGACAACCACTAGTATCAACAGTTATAAGACAGAGAAGATGTCTGGACAACCACTAGTATCAACAGTTATAAGACAGAGAAGATGTCTGGACAACCACTAGTATCAACAGTTATAAGACAGAGAAGATGTCTGGACAACCACTAGTATCAACAGTTATAAGACAGAGAAGATGTCTGGACAACCACTAGTATCAACATTTATAAGACAGAGAAGATGTCTGGACAACCACTAGTATCAACAGTTATAAGACAGAGAAGATGTCTGGACTACCACTAGTATCAACAGTTATAAGACAGAGAGAAGATGTCTGGACAACCACTAGTATCAACAGTTATAAGACAGAGAAGATGTCTGGACAACCACTAGTATCAACAGTTATAAGACAGAGAGAAGATGTCTGGACAACCACTAGTATCAACAGTTATAAGACAGAGAAGATGTCTGGACAACCACTAGTATCAACAGTTATAAGACAGAGAAGATGTCTGGACAACCACTAGTATCAACAGTTATAAGACAGAGAAGATGTCTGGACAACCACTAGTATCAACATTTATAAGACAGAGAAGATGGCTGGACAACCACTAGTATCAACAGTTATAAGACAGAGAAGATGTCTGGACAACCACTAGTATCAACAGTTATAAGACAGAGAAGATGTCAGGACAACCACTAGTATCAACAGTTATAAGACAGAGAGAAGATGGCGCAACATTAGATACATCCTGAGAAGAAACCAGCAGAGAATCAGCAAACAGGCATTAAAATGGGAAATAAAGGGACTGTGGAGCTCAGAATTCCCAAAAGAAACCCAGAGACGAATTTTGAGTCCCATGTGACCCAAAATGTCACAACAGGACAATGGGTTTGAGGTTTAAGGTTTTGAACAACAGATCAACATCATGGCACTCGGCATGGAACCCATGATTGCTCCGTTCTCCTTCTAACTCAAGTCTGAAGAAGCTCAGCACAATCCACAGGATCTGTAGCATCGGCGAGGATCCTGAAATACTGTGGGTAAATTTTTAACTCCAAATCTGGCCCGGGCAGCACCCTTAGGCTACTCTTTTCGATATTCAACTGCAAAGGATGTTTTACGTGCGCAACAATGCACATGGACGTCCGATCTGACTAGCCAGAGACCAGGGCAATTACTAACAGTCCAAGTCCACGTACTAACAGTCCAAGTCCACGTACTAACAGTCCAAGTCCACGTACTAACAGTCCAAGTCCACGTACTAACAGTCCAAGTCCACGTACTAACAGTCCAAGTCCACGTACTAACAGTCCAAGTCCACGTACTAACAGTCCAAGTCCACGTGAAAAGATCCCAGCCTTTTACCGGAGATTGAACCCGGAACCTCTAGCACTCGAGGCGGACACCATGCATGGAGACAACGCATCCCCCCTCCCCCAACAGGAAAATGTATGAATTTACTTTTGTTAGTTTCTGTCCAGGAATCCTCCAGTGCTCTCCTGATGGCTTCAAGATGGCTGGAATTGCCAGGATCCAAGTGGCCCCAGGTGGAGATGTTGAGAAGATTCCTGGTTTCACAGACGCAGACAGACAGAGAAGTCTTGTCATAGAACAACTGCTGGACCGTCTGTATGGGTGGCTCTTCAGCTGAGGTCAAGCTAGAGTCAGCTTGGTCAATGGTGACGTAGTAGTCCACTATAGTGACCGGTGATGCGCTGGGGGTAATCAAGTCACAATCAATGGTAATACGTCTGTAGGCACAATGGGATACAGGTGTGTGGTTTACCCCTATCTTCACAAAGCAGCTACGACATGTCAGTTAAATCAACAATCCCATACTGCCATCAATAAAGAAAATACAAAATTTGTGTAAAATGTGTGTATCAAGTCTTTTTCTGCTTCTTCTTTGCGTTCACCAGCTGTAAACTACGGCGGAAAGTTCCGGTTGTTCGTCCACTTTTGGACTCTCCGCTTCACAGGTTTGGCTCATTTGCCTGCAGACTGTTGGTTCCTTGCCTCTTAAGCAGACATATTCTGACCTCGAAGGAAGCTCCCAATTAGTCCACTCTTACGACATGCTTTTGGACTGGCGGTAGGTCTGTTCTTGTTTTCCTCACTATGAGGCCCCTAAACTCACACGGGGATGTGTATCAAGTCTGTAACAATCCAATACTTATATTTATTTTTAAAATATGGCAAAGGACCGTTGCAATGCAATAGATCTCCAACACACTCTATCTGGTATCTTGGTAGTACGCCCTCTCAGATTGCTGTGTGTCCATCTCTTGATGTTGTCCTTCCACTTATATCCTTGTCTGCCTCTTGCTCTCCCGCTTTCAATCTATCACTCCAGTATACATTGTAAAAGATCGTTTGGTCTTTTAATGCAGAAAGATTTCCTTTTGTTTTAAATTGCTTTCATTAATTCTTTTTTAACTCATAATCTCTTCAGAAAGTATGTATTTTACTGTTTTCTCTCATGAAATACTACCTGCATAAGCAAGTCAATTTGACTAGAAAGAAGCTCACTGTGCACTTGTCACCACTTTACCTGGTACTCCATGTTAGGCTGAGTCAATGTGACTAGAAAGAAGCTCACTGTGCACTTGTCACCACTTTACCTGGTACTCCTTGTTAGGCTGAGTCAATGTGACTAGAAGGGAAGCTCACTGTGCACTTGTCACCACTTTACCTGGTACTCCATGTTAGGCTGAGTCAATGTGACTAGAAAGGAGCTCACTGTGCACTTGTCACCACTTTACATGGTACTCCATGTTAGGCTGAGTCAATGTGACTAGAAAGGAGCTCACTGTGCACTTGTCGCCACTTTACCTGGTACTCCATGTTAGGCTGAGTCGATGTGGCTGACAAGGTCTTTTTGAAATAAATCAATTCAGTGCCTCCTCTACTTTAAAATGTGTTGCTTTTACTCAACAAACAATGTAGCTGCCAGGTCTTCAACTGAATGCAGTCTTAAAATCCAGGAATTAGTTATTTTAATAACAACTTTCAATCATTGCTGATTAATAGCTAAACTCCTAAACATCGGGTTTTGAAACAAGACTAGGGTTTAGAAGTGGATGAACATCCAGAGTTATCTGCTGGAGTTTACAGTCAGTGAAGGTTAAGAAGTATAAGAAAAGATTAACAACAAAATGAATCAATGATTTATCAATGAATTATAACCACATTTCTAAATTCTCAGTTACCTCAAAGTAACAAAGTGAACCATGGATAAAAAGAGAAGACATACTGAGGTTTTAGAACATCTAAACATCAAGGAAAATTGGCTAATAAATAGCATCTTTTCTTTAAAGCTGAAATATTTTGGCCGTATCAAGCGCCATGGCAGATTAGAAAAAAAAATAATAGCAAAAGGCATGGTACGAGGAAGGAGGGGCAGGGGTCGACCGACATGAAGATGGGCACAGGATCTAAGTGACTCATTGAGTGTGAAAGTACATGAGGCGGGAGAGCTGGGGAGAGATCAGGCAGACAGTGATGAGAGCGACGTTCTGCAAAGGACCTACTACATGATGACTTAAACAACGTAAACACTTACTCCAGTCGCACAGAACTGCTGGAATCCATGTCCAGAACAGACAGATGAATGTCGTCTGGGTGGATCTCTGTTTAAAAAAAAAAAAAAAAAACGTACAATACATAATTATCAACAAGTATTGTTCCAATAACTAGGGGACTATATATGTCATCGAACCAGGATATAAAACACAAGGAACCAGGATATAAAACACAAGGAACCAGGATATAAAACACAAGGAACCAGGATATAAAACACAAGGAACCAGGATATAAAACACAAGGAACCAGGATATAAAACACAAGGAAACAGGATATAAAACACAAGGAACCAGGATATAAAACACAAGGAACCAAGATAGAAAACACACGGAACCAGGATATAAAACACAAGGAACCAGGATATAAAACACAAGGAACCAGGATATAAAACACAAGGAACCAGGATATCAAACAATGTAAACATTCTCGAGGCACCATGCGGGTGGGAGTTATGTACCATGTTGCACTTAGAAAGACAGTTTAGGCTCTTGAAATTAAATGTTACGCACAAATTATAAGAATACAGTGAATCAATAATTCTTAAAAAAAATACTCAGCAAGAACAATAATCGCAACAAGAATGATGAATGTTGAATGTTGAATTAGGAATCGACATCACAGCACTCAAGACACTCACATAAGCGCTCTATTCCCATCTTCAGCAGCAAGCCAAAAGTTAAAATGCCGATGGTACCAGTAACTGTCTGATTGTATATCCGTCTCATCCTATACCTGAGTGTTGAGCGTCGGCCAGATCCCCTGGTAACTCCTCGCAGTGCCATTCTCCGCAGACCGTAATGATCTATCTGTGCCTCGGAACTGTTCACTCGCTCCTAAAAGGCCCTCACAACATCCTGCCTGTCATTCATCAGTTCGCCCCAAGTAGTGCAGAACCGGCCAGTCTATCCGCCTGTTAATTTCCCAACACACCAACATATCTGGAGAAAATATCCAAAGGATGGTAACTAAACGAGACCTTTGAAGTGATGCTTGCCACTCTGCACGAAGCATGCCTGTCTTCACCTTTCTCGACATGCTCTGTGGGTCAGTTACAATGACGGCATGTGTGTACAGCTGATTCTCAAGCCAGCGGAAGGCAGCAGTGACTGCCTCCACCTTCTCAAATTAGACGTTGTGATATAATAAGCCAGGCTTTGTTAATCGCAACAAGAATATATAGAAAAACGAGAAAGTAACAATAGATCCCACAGTAACAACAACATGAACGGCAGCAGAAACAGGGGAAAAAAATCAGCAACAAACTTATCAAGACCATCGTCATTACCATCAGTATAAGAAAGAGAATGAAATTACCTACCACTATTGATAACAGCCCAAGACTGTCTGAGGACGTCTTCTATCGCAGGTAAGCTCTCCCTGGAGATGCGACCATCCATGACCACCTGGTATCTGCGTGTCAGAGGCATGCCAGTCTCTGGACCCCTCACCTGGTTTTGGCTCATGATATCAGTCCATTCCTCATCAGATCTCAGAGGAGGCATCTCATCCCCATAAGAAGCCGGCTTGAACATCACCTTAGTTACCAAATTCCTGTGATAGAAATCGGGTATGATATACACTCATATATGTGTGGGAGGAATATGAAACTCTAAACTGTATAGTTTTAAAACCCCATTACATATTTTTATTCCCAATATTTTATTCACACGAAAGATATGGAATGATAGATAAATACATTCTCTGAGAAAAATGATGAAAAAAAACAACTGTGATGAATTTTAAAGAAATGAAGAAATGAGAGAAATGTCTGGGCAACCACTACTTATCAAAACTATAAGACAGAGAAGATGGCGCTACAGGAAAGACATCCTGGGAAGAAACCAGCAGAGAATTACCAAACAGGCATCACAGTGGAAATAAATGGGTTAAGGAAGCAAGGATGTGCAAAAGAAACCCTAAGACGAACGTTGATGAGAGAGGCCAAAGCTGCTGAACTGGAATCCTTCCTAAAACATTGAACTGATTGCACAGAATAGAGCTGAACGGAGCAATAAACTGGGAGCCTCGTGTGAGGGTAAAAATGGCACAACGGGATAATGATGATGATGTGTGGGGAAAAAGGTTGTTAGTGGCGGGTTTGGTGTGTGGGGGGGGGGGGGGTGTTCGTGTGCGTGTACATGATAACCAATACCACTTCAGGAACTACACAGAGGTGAAGAACAAAGAGGTGATAAATATACAATCAGCATGATGATGTGATAAACTGATGACTAGTTCAACAAGAGTTGATACAGTGACAACACATAAGAATCAATGATAAACAGACAATATAAATAAGGGATCCTTGTTACATGAGTGGCCTCATCGAGCATGTGATGAGAGCAAGGCCGGATTTCCACTTGATGAGGTCTCAATCCTAAACAAAGGCCCTATTTATCATGCCGTAAATTACATTAGCTATCTCACCAAGCTAGAATCAATAAAAGCTCGAGATAATACATGCAGATAGTAAGTATAAATTAGAACATTTGGGGGTGTGGGGTAAATATATATTTTAAAAATAAAAGCTTGAGATATATACCAAAAATAATATATACATAAAAGTACAAAATGTTGGGGAGAAAAAAAAGGTAAATTATATTAAACGAAAATCGCATTGTGTGGAAAGAAAAAGTAATTACTGAGGCCCCTGCAAGACTGTGAGACCCTAAGCTGTAGCTTAGTAAGGTTATGTCTAAATCCAGGACTGTAGACTCATTGTCACTCAAGGGGCGATGTAGTCAATATCACACTCGCATCCTTTACTTCCCAGGACCTTACCCGATATTCCATGTAAAGCTGGGTGCGACTATGGAGACAAATCCATTTTGTAAATAAATCGATTCAGCAAGGATTCGAACCTAAGACATTTGGCCTGGCAGGTGAGCAAATCGACAAATGACATTTTAAATTGACAACAGACAAACTTGGTGAAAAACAAATGACAACCAAATGATGCTGGTTATACCAGAGATGAATATAGTGTGCCTACACAAACAGAAGTTGAACTTTTTTTTCTTCTCCTTACCCTTGAGCATCAATGTAAAATTCCCGTCCAGTCAGTTTACCTTCTGTAACAGAAGACCGGCAGAGAAATAGTGATTAGCTGATAAAATGTTAAGGACCTTTTCCACGTCTTTCATGCGTATTGGGTATATAGGGCTAGACCTATATTCTATAGACCTAATGGCACTTGCTGGGTGACGTGGTCAGCATCACACCGGCCGCCTTTACTTCCCAGGGGTACCCACTCAAAGCTGGGTCGACCTGGGAGCCATGTCATTTAAAAAAAATATGGCTCTTGTCAGGAACCGAACCCACAACCTTCCGATCTGCAGCCGAGCGTCTAGCCGCTTGACCATGGCGGCTCCCGTGATTAGCTGATGGTCGTAAAAACATAATCCTAAGTCTGAAAGATATTACCGAGCTGGGTTAACTACTTTTGTTTTACTACTCTCTTCTTCTCCATCATAATTAATAGACACAACATTTAATGAACACTGTCAAAAGATGGATTACAACATTCAAAATACATTTTTCATGTATCACAGTCACGTTCTGTCCAATAAGAACAAGTCAAGTCTGTATTACAGTCACGGTCTGTCCAATAAGAACAAGACAAGTCTGTATCACAGTCACGGTCTGTCCAATAAGAACAAGTCAAGTCTGTATTACAGTCACGGTCTGTCCAATAAGAACGAGTCAAGTCTGTATCACAGTCACGGTCTGTCCAGCAAGAACAAGTCAAGTCTGTATCACAGTCACGGTCTGTCCAGCAAGAACAAGACAAGTATGTATCACAGTCACGGTCTGTCCTGCAAGAACGAGACAATTCTGTATCACAGTCACGGTCTGTCCAATAAGAACAAGACAATTCTGTATCACAGTCACACTCTGCCCAGCAAGAACAAGACAAGTCTGTAACACAGTCACAGTCTGTCCAATAAGAACAAGACAAGTCTGTATTACAGTTACGGTGTGTCCAGCTAGAACGAGACAAGTCTGTATCACAGTCACGGTCTGTCCTGCAAGAACGAGACAATTCTGTATCACAGTCACGGTCTGTCCTGCAAGAACGAGACAATTCTGTATCACAGTCACAGTCTGTCCTGCAAGAACGAGACAAGTCTGTATCACAATCACGGTCTGTCCAATAAGAACGAGTAAAGTCTTTATCACAGTCATAGTCTGTAAAACAAGAACGAGTCAAGTCTGTATCATAGTCACGGTCTGTCTAATAAGAACGAGTCAAGTCTGTATCACAGTCACACTCTGTCCAGCAAGAACGAGACAAATCCGCAAGACAGTGAAAGCTAGGTCTCTATCTGACAGTCAAATAAAAGAAATCATGTAGAAACTGTTGGAATGCTATCAAGGACTTTGGAATACCAAAGAAGTGTTTCACTATGACCAAACTATTATGGAAGACACCCTATAATATAGTAATATATAAAGGCAGAAAGTTACACCCTTTTCACAGAACATATGGCTTAAAGCAAGGTGATATTCTGTCTCCATTTCTTTTCACTTGGCCCTGGAGAAAAAATATAAGGACATATAAAGAAGTGTGTACTCTAGGAAAAACTACAAGAATGCTTGGTTGTTTGGTTTCTGCAATGTCTTGTAAATACGTTTTCATTCCGAGAAAGAGAATGCCTGTGACATAGGTTGCAGCACTCTCTAGGGGGAATGTGTTAGACCCAGTGTCACGAGACGACCTCAGTGGTTCCAGAAGTTAGTACTTGTAATAAGTTCTTCTGGTTCTAAAGAGACAGGATTATATTTACTCTGCCCTTTACCCTAATATTACTATAAACCAAAATTGATTTAAATGTTTCCAGTCCTTTTCCGAGACAAAGCCACTGCGCTTTGTTTAAAATTACATAACACTACGTAATACAGCCCGCTGGTTCAGACTAGGGATGTTATGTTTGATTCTCATGCCAGTGTCAGAATGTTATCTCCTGACCACACTGTAGAGGCCAGCGAACGGGGAACTTAGCATCACACCTGAGCTGGACCGTAGGTCGTAAAGGTTACCTAACACAGACGGCTTTGTAAGACTAGATCAGGGGAATTGAGTGGACGCTAGACATTGTGGCGACGGGAGGTTGGAGTTTCGCAAGTCAGTGTAATTCTTGGCAGAACAGGTGTTTGGCAATTAGGAATGTTTGATCTGGGTCGAGTAGGAAACACAATGGCTTCACTTACCTCTTTTAACACCGGCTAGTTAGATTCGTTGTAAACTAGATTGGGTCACTTAAGAATGTTTGCTCTAGGGATGTCAGTCCAGAATTAAGTGACAGGTCACTTGTTAGCCAATTTGATCTGATAGTTACCTCAGAGGCGTGGCTTAAGTCATCGTCTTGAGGGTTGGGTAGAAGCGAGTAAAGGGAGGAGTTTAATTTGGACAATAGATTGATACTTATACTGCGAGCATTGTAGATTTACCTCATAGTGCCGCCAGCAGGCCACAGACTCAGACCTACCGTGAAAAAGTATTTTCTCCCTGGTTGAGTCGTGTTCGGCATTTGCTGGAAAGTTCCCAGGTGAATATTAATCTTAATCTTGTATACTTAGATTAGGGAGTTAAGCTTAGTCTATACTACCTTTTCCTAATTTGTCTGCACATTCTGCTTGAAATAGTTCTTTGTGAGTATTCAGTATCTCAGTTAGGGAACTGCTAAACTATTCCTATTTCTTGTATGTTTGTGTCACATGTTTTTCATTGTATGTTTTCATGTGTATAAAATAAGATGTGAACAATGACATTTGCTATAATGAAATGTAAATATATTGTTTCCACCTTCAACCAAAATATGAGTTTGGACTGTGGGAAATGATGCCCAAATATGTGCAGGGATGCTGCTACGTTTTGTGTGCCCACCATGTGCTCACTTAATGTGTTCAACTAAACAGGGGATTTATAACCCCAGGGGAAGAATGATGGGTGTATAGAATTCACGGTCACTGAAAGATAATATTCAGGACAGCGTGCAAATATAAATTGTTTGCGTGTTCAGCACAGAACCTGCGCCACATGTTTATGTCAAATCAATGTCAGCCAGTTGGAAGTCTGAGTGATGACAGACAACAGACTTAGAAAGTCAACTATCATGACATAGCATGAGAGAGGAAGTCAGGATATGTGACGTCCATGTAAGACAAAAGACCTTCAGACTAGACTGGAGAGAATGTGGAATATGAGGAGTGATGGGATATATTTTATTCTTATATGTTATATTAATTGATACATGTATTCTTAGTGTAAGTCAAGATACTACACGCATGTGTTTGTTTCCATGATTACAGCGCCCATGTGACGATCAGTCCATGAAAGAGACTACCTTGTGTTAGACTCAGCCAGCTGGGAACGAGGTGGGGGCGAGGAGGAGAAACAAGCAGGGAAGAAGCTGGAAGAGGCGGAAGAGCTTGACAGTGCTCACGGCTGTCAGAGGTTCTATGAAAAACAAGTTAGGTTCATAAATTGTTCATACTTTATCACCTTCATCACACCACTCTAATCCCAGGTGCTGTTCTCGCGCTGAAACAACCCATTACTATCATAACTTTAGCTAGTCACTGTTTGTGTAAACACAACAAACTGGGTATGTCAATTAACTGATTGTTAGAAAATAAAGCTGTATGTCAAGTTTTATACTACATCGTTTGTTAAATTCCAAGTGTATTCAGTCTTACCTGTTTAACTAAACATAGATAGAATTACATTTGGTGGGGGCTCAATTAATATGATAATAATTCTTTAATTATTCATAATAACACCGGGAGAAGGTAGATGACGGAGGAATCATTTGCCCTGTCTAATAATTCATTTAGTATAATGATAGACATCTAAAATTCCTTTCCTTCTCTTGTGGGTACCAAGTGCAGCTAATGTTAAAGTACTTAACGAGCCAATATGGTTGTTTTCTTGGGTATCCAGGACTTTGTCTGAGAGCAACATAGCTCAGATTTTAGTTCCGTTTATCTGGTGGAGGGAATGTGTTGAGAGGTACATCCCTACTCAACATTATAAACCATTAATCCACGCGTCACGTCACACACAGTTTCTCCATGTTTTTGATGTTTTAAAAGAACTGGCGTGCTGAAATATACAACACGTGATATCAACAGCATATGGACCACTCCCGTACACTTGTGCGATGGTTACAGGGCTTCTGACATACCAATCAGAAGTCAGCTAGCGTGTATATGGGCGGGTGTGGGGGAGACTAAAGTCGAACTAACCAGTAGTTTCATTGATTCTACAGTACGAAAGAATGAAAAAATAATACATACCACTTCCTAGGATACCCGAGATTACAGACATGATCTTCGAGTACCGGGTGTATCCATGCAGGTAAAGGGACATGACAGGGTGGTGCTGACAGTCGCACAGAGCCAAGTGTCTATGTATTTGTGCCAGGGACTGTCCGCTCACTGATAGTGGTTTGACCAGATGACCATTCAGCAGTACAAAGTAGGCAAAGCTGGAGATTTCGTTGCTGTAAGAACGTCAAATATTTAATAGATTAAATGTTCAACAATAAAGATGCTCAACAACTGATTCTTCGTCTTCTTCTTCTTCTTCTTCTTCTTCTTCTTCTTCTTCTTCTTCTTCTTCTTCTTCTTTTTCTTCTTCTTCTTCTTCTTCTTCTTCTTCTTCTTCTTCTTCTTCTTCTTTCTTCTTCTTCTTCTTCTTCTTCTTATTATTCTTATTATTATTATTATTCTTATTCTTCTTATTATTCTTATTCTTATTCTTCTTATTATTTCTTGTTTCTTGTTATTCTTCTTCTTCTTCTTCTTCTTCTTCTTCTTCTTCTTCTTCTTTCTTCTTCTTCTTGTTCTTCTTGTTCTTGTTCTTGTTCTTCTTCTTCTTCTTCTTTCTTCTTTCTTCTTTCTTCTTTTTTCTTCTTCTTCTTCTTCTTCTTCTTTCTTCTTCTTCTTCTTTTTCTTGTTCTTCTTCTTCTTCTTTTTCTTCTTCTTCTTCTTCTTCTTCTTCTCTTCTTCTTTTTCCTCTTCTTCTTCTTCTTCTTCTTCTTCTTCTTCTTCTTCTTCTTCTTCTTCTTCTTCTTTTTGTTCTTCTTCTTCTTCTTCTTCTTCTTCTTCTTCTTTTTCATCAGCATTCTGAGCTCTTAAGGTTGTTAGCTACAGTCGTCTGCTCCCATTCATCCTTATGACTGGCCTTCTCTATCAAGTTGTAGGTCTGTCTGATATTACCTTTCTGCCATCGTTTTGATCTGCCTTGTGATCTACTCCCATTCAACATTTTTTTTTTACGTATGTAGTTTTTATCTCTCTCTTATCTGCTCTTTTCTCAATATGTCCCAGCCATCTTATACATTCATAATCAAACATGGGGTAACATAGTGACCACATACCTGGTATTTGTGTAATATATTTCCGGTCTCACAGCTCTGATAGTCACATTACAGTGTGCCGAATCACACTGGCCAGTTTCTGAAACACAGCGAACAAGAACAGGTTATCTTTACTGCCACTGTCAAACTGACTCAGTTAAACTCCCACTATTTATGCTTTTTTTTTTTGCTGCTGGCATCGTTGGTTTTATTCTCATTAGATAACCAAACCATTTCATTCTTTGTTTCTCAATCAATTTGATGATGGGTGTTGTTCCAACAGTTCTTGTGATCACACCGTTTCTTACTGAACTGAACTGAATTTCTACCCCACCAGGACATCACACAAGCGATAAACATCCGATGACACAAAGTGCCACCATGTGAATGAGGATCGCCGTGGAGAGGTCCCAGAAACCGCGTTCAGACATTTGGCCATATGTATGGCCTGCCTATATTGCGGCCCCTGGCAAAAGCCAGAGTGGGGCTTCAAATAACAAAAAATTACGTCCTAAAAAGGACGTAAGGATATCTATATTACCGTTTCTTACTCCATCTCTTCTGATTTTATTCACAACCATTCTCAAACATCTCATCTCACAGGTGGTTCGTTTTTTTTTTTTTTTTCGTGCTATTTTTTGTCAGTGTCCAAGTCTGACATTGGTACCTAATGTTGGTAAAAATATTGTATTTATAATTTGTCTTTTTGGTACATGACACTGTTGGCTTGTTGGATTCTCGTTTCTATCTCTCTGACTTGCTTCGCAAGTATTTAAATATTTGTACTTGTTTCAGACTTTGATCTTTGATCTTTATGTCGATGGTTTGTTTCTTTCTACTTATTCTCATGATTTCAGTTTTTTATTTTTGAATTTTCAATATTGATCTTCAAGTCATGTTTGAGGCAACTGTCGTTGGTTTATGTGGTCCTGCAGCTGTTTACTTTCACTGTGGAGTATGCACTGATTGTCGGCAAAGAGCAGCTCATTAAAGTCCTCCTGTTTATCGACATCTGGTGGTGTTATGTCTTTCACATTTCTTCAGTGTGAATAATACTTCTTTGTACAAGAAATCACATTACTTCAGTTGGGTGGGAGGGGAGGTGTGGGGGGGGGGGGGAGTAACTTCTTCAGTTCAGTACAAGAAATCACATTTCTTGAGTTAGGGGAAAAAATATTTCTTTAGTCCAAGAAGACACTTTTTTTCAGTGCGAATAGTCTTCTCCAGTGCAAGAAATCACATTTCTTCAATATGAATAATACTTCTGTGTGCAAAAAAATCACATTTTTTCAGGTGGGGGGTGGAGAAATACTTCTTCAGTGCAAGAGATCACATTCCTTCAGTATGAATAATGCTTCCTAAGTGCAAGAAAATCACATTTACACAGTTGGAGAGGGAAAGGGGATACTTCTTCAGTGCAAGAAATCAAATTTCTTCAGTGTGAATTATACTTCTCCATTGAAAGAAATCACATTTCATCATTGTGAATAATATTTCTTCAGTGCAAGAAATTCTGGCTTTTTGGTGGGGATCAGTCTCTCAATGTAGGAATTATAGTCCTCCAACATTTTAATTGACCTGCTACTTTTTCTCTTACAACTTACAAAGCAAGGGAACACAATTTCAGTTGCATGCATTCGAGTTTTTGCAACTTTCAGCCCTACTCCGTTTCACCAAAACATCAAGCACTAATCAAGAATGCCCTTTTTTTTCTGGTGGTACGGGCACCAATTGTTTCTAGTGGGAAAAAAAACATGCTTGTGACACATATAAAGACTTACAAACACATACAAACACCAGTGACACATACAAATTCCAGTGACACATACAGACACCAGTGGCACATACAAACTCCAGTGACACATACAAACATCAGTGACACATACAAATTCCAGTGACACATACAGACACCAGTGGCATATACAAACACCAGTGTCACATACAAACACTAGTGGGACATACAAACACCAGTGACACATACAAACACCAGTGACACATACAGACACCAGTGGCACATACAAACACCAGTGTCACATACAAACACCAGTGACACATACAAACACCAGTGACACATACAAACACCAGTGGCACATACAAACACCAGTGACACATACAGACACCAGTGGCACATACAAACACCAGTGGCACATGCAAACACTAGTGACACATACAAACACCAGTGACACATACAAACACCAGTGGCACATACAAACACCAGTGGCACATACACCAGTGACACAGTGACACATACAAACACCAGTGACACATACAAACACCAGTGACACATACAAACACCAGTGACACATACAAACACCAGTGACACATACAAACACCAGTGACACATACAAATACCAGTGACACATACAAACACCAGTGGCACATACAAACACCAGTGACACATACAAACACCAGTGGCACATACAAACACTAGTGACACATACAAACACCAGTGACACATACAGACACCAGTGGCACATACAAACACCAGTGGCACATACAAACACTAGTGACACATACAAACACCAGTGACACATACAGACACCAGTGGCACATACAAACACCAGTGGCACATGCAAACATTAGTGACACATACAAACACCAGTGACACATACAAACACCAGTGGCACATACAAACACCAGTGACACATACAAACACCAGTGACACATACAAACACCAGTGACACATACAAACACCAGTGACACATACAAACACCAGTGGCACATACAAACACCAGAGACACATACAAACACCAATGGCACATACAAACACCAGTGACACATTTAAAAACACCAGTGACACATACAAACAACATTGGCACATACAAACACCAGTGGCACATACAAACACCAGTGACACATTCAAAAACACCAGTGACACATACAAACAACATTGGCACATACAAACACCAGTGACACATACAAACACCTATGACACATTCAAAAACACCAGTGACACATACAAACAACATTGGCACATACAAACACCAGTGACACATACAAACACCAGTGACACATTCAAAAAACACCAGTGACACATACAAACAACATTGGCACATACAAACACCAGTGACACAGAAACACCAGTATCACATACAAACACCACAAAACATACAAACACTAGCGACATATACAAACAATATATCTTTACCCTGGAGAAAAGCTTGCCAACTTCTAGTGAGTTCTTGTTTGGTTTCAATTCCAACTTGAGATGTCAGAGTGATTGCTCTTGCCAGGAAAGCTTCATAATGAAGGTTGTAGGCCAACAAATCGGTGTGTCTGTAGGGCCGATAGAAAGACGGGCTGAATTCTTCCTGCAAGTCCTGGACAGTAAGCCGGTCACGAGCATCCACTGTCTGGGTGACTCCATCTCTCGACAAGGTGTAGAAGATCTTGGTCAGCCGAGTGCTGTGAACATAACGATCGGTGTTTTATTATTATCCAACCTCAAACAGGGGAAATCCCCAGGTCTCGGGACAGTCTAATATTTCAGGGGGTGGTAGAAAGGCTGCACTCGCTCATGGTGACGTAGGTGGGTTGTGTTTAGGGCCAATTGTAGATGTTTTGGGGTCGTTAAAAGCATCAGAAAGCGGGGAAACCCGGTCTAACCACCGGCTAAAATGTTGGACTGCCCTGTGAAGTCATCTGGGGTAGGGTATTATAAAAGTACCTAACGATTAATTATGGACATCACTTGCCATTACACAACCATTTATCAATCCTGAGCAGAGAAAGTGAGTCCTTGAGAACTATGCAGAGCTATCTTGGTATGTAAGACAATCAGTGCATTATGGGAAACTATTCAGAAGCTGTGCTGATGTGGTTCTGCAGAAAGATGATGAAAACACTTTCAAGTAATAATACGAGTCACAAAGAAATCTTTAAAAAAAAATGTCTAACTGACTCACAAGAGAACTGACTACCCACATCAGAAGTAGATAATCCATATACTTCTGGTGCATCATGGGAAAGAGACAACTGGAAGATATCATAGAAGCAGGAAAGCTGTAGTAGAAGAACAGCAAAGAAGACCATGACAGTGGTGTTAGACAGTCTGGCATCATGGCTGTAATGACATACTTTATATCTTATTTGAATAATCTGAGTTACAGGTCTAGTCACACATGCATACAAATGAAGATTGTACAGTCCACGCATTGTGACTCTCAAACAGGACCACAAACACATGAGCACATTCTGCAGACCTGCCCACTCTTACTTCTTCTTCTTCTTCTTCTTCTTCTTCTTCTTCTTCTTCTTCTTCTTCTTCTTCTTCTTCTTCTTCTTCTTCTTCTTCTTCTTCTTCTTCTTCTTCTTCTTCTTCTTCCTCTTCTTCTTCCTCTTCTTCTTCCTCTTCTTCTTCCTCTTCTTCTTCTTCTTCTTCTTCTTCTTCCTCTTCTTCTTCTCCCTCTCCTTCTCCCTCTCCTTCTCCCTCTTCTTCTTCCTCTTCTTCTTTTCTTCTTCTTTTCTTCTCTCCTTCTCCTTCTCCTTCTTTTTTTTTTTTCTTTTTCTTTTTCTTTTTCTTTTTCTTTTTCTTCTTCTTCTTTTTCTTTTCTTCTTCTTCTTTTTCTTCTTCTTTTTTTCTTCTTCTTTTTTCTTCTTCTTTTTCTTCTTCTTCTTCTTCTTCTTCTTCTTCTTCTTCTTCTTCTTCTTCTTCTTCTTCTTCTTCTTCTTCTTCTTCTTCTTTTTCTTTTCTTTTTCTTTTTCTTTTTCTTCTTCTTCTTCTTCTTTTCTTCTTCTTCTTCTTCTTCTTCTTCTTCTTCTTCTTCTTCTTCTTCTTCTTCTTCTTCTTCTTCTTCTTTTTCTTCTTCTTCTTCTTCTTCTTCTTCTTCTTCTTCTTCTTCTTCTTCTTCTTCTTCTTCTTCTTCTTCTTCTTCTTCTTTTTTGGGGGGGGGGGGGGGGGGGGGGGGTCGCATTGGGGGGGGGGGGGGGGGGGCGGGGGGGGGGGGGGGGGGGGGGGGGGGGGGGGGGGGGGGCGGGGGAGGTGGGGGGGGGATCGGCTGTAAACTCCATGGAAAGTACTGGTTTTTTATCCGCCTCTGGATTTTAGTCTTGTTCCAGAACCTGTCACATGTAAGACAGGCTTTACAGACGTGGCTCATTTGTATGCATACACTTGGTATTTTGCCTTTCAGGCAGATGTACTCTGACTAAAAGGAAGCACTCCCCCTCCCCAATTAGTCGCCTCTTACGACATGCTTGTTGGGGAGGCAGTGGGTCTATTCTTGTTTTCCCCCAAAATGGGTTACAAGAACCCACACGGGAAGAGTTTATATTCAATTAAAAGCACTCTTCTGCAAATGGAGAACAAAAACATACCCATAGTTGCCGATGTACTGTTGTCCATACAGAACGTTAACAGAGTACTTGCATGCGCAATCTAGAACAAAGTAAAGTGGATATTTGTGATCAAAGATACATAAGGATACTTGTGATCAAAGATACATACGGATATGTGTGATCAAAGATACATAAGGATATGTGTGATCAAAGATACATAAGGATATGTGTGATCAAAGATACATACGGATATGTGTGATCAAAGATACATAAGGATATGTGTGATCAAGATACATAAGGATATGTGTGATCAAAGATACATAAGGATATGTGTGATCAAAGATACATAAGGATACCTGTGATCAAAAATACATAGGTATATGTAATCAAAGATGTACAAGGATTTTTATGGTGAAAGTTGTTCAAGAATTTGTGTCGTGAAAGATGTATGGAGAAATGCATGATGAAAAAAAAATTACAGTTCTGCTAGTGCAAACAAGATGGCAGATCAGATGCTTATCTTATAGAAAGATGAGATTTGTGACAGATTTAACAAAGCAAACCAGCTCACTTGGACAAATGGCACCAATACAAAGAAACAAACATGTATCCATAGAAACTCTATGACACAATCTTCTTGCTAATCCTTTGTTATCAATGCCAGACATAGTTAATGACAACAACAACAACAAAAATAGAAAAGAAACAAATTACAACAACCAAAAGAATATGCCTGAGAAGGGCTCTCAGTACAGTATGTAGAGAAAAGATCTTAAACCATGAAATCCGAAGAAAAATACGTGTAACAGCAGCTCTAAATTTCATTAGAAGTCAAAAGGTGAAATGGTTTGGCCATGTAACGCTGTTTTCCATCAGACAGTATCCCACAGCAGGCAATGATGTACACAGACCAGGCGGGAAGCGAAGAAGAGGCCGACTATGCAAAGCCATGGACATAGGAAATCCCCTATTTACGAAGCACACAAACGGGTTATTTCCCGTAAATTATGTTTCACCACGACACCGCAAGGTACCAGAAGATCAGGACAAGATGAGATGAGATCTCGTCAGTCTCAATGACGATAAAGTATTTGCTAACATCACACCGCTTTATCAAACCTAACATAAGTTACATTCTTCTTTTCTCTACTTCTGGAACGCCTCGAAGCGTCAGGACAGGAAGACAAATGGGTCCTTCTGTTGTGTTGCATGTAGTACCTGTCAGTGTCTTTGAGTCGACCTCTGGCTTTGTTATCTCTGTATCTGTATAACATTGCTCTCTGCGGTTTCCTGTCGGTAGTCAGTCTTGTTACATGGGTATCGCGCCATTTTCTGAATCAACAATTCACACCACCACGTTGGTCACAGTCGAAAAACATTCCTAATGAAATCCACAGCTCACAGTGTCGCGCCATGCAGTCAACTCAGAAGCTGGGTGATGAAACTATATCCTTTCAGTCTACAAATGGAGCAAAAATGCAGGGGCCACTGTCTGACAAACCACAACATTTACCACCACTCAAAACAGTGACCGTGCCTAGCGTCCATTTTGACCAAACATAACAAATAGTTTCACGTTATCAATTTAAGAAAAACAATAGATTCAATATTTAAAATATGTGAACTTAAGACAAGCAATAGATTCCACATTTAAATAATGTAAACTTAAGACAAGCAATGGATTCCACATTTAAATAATGTGAACTTAAGTCAGGCAATGGATTCCACATTTAATAATGTGAACTTAAGACAAGCAATAAATTTCACATAAAAATAATGTGAACTTGAGACTAGCAATAGATTTCACATTTAAACACTGTAAACTTACTCTGATATTTTCTTGTCCAGACTCTAGTTAGGATGTCGGCAATTTGTGGCAACGTCCGCTCTGGCAAGTCTCCGATCACATCCAGATCAAACACAACATCTGGCTCCGTGATTGGTCCTCGATAAACATGGTTTCTGTTGGCACTGAATTCTGGTGTGGAGTTGAGGTGGCTGTCTATCTGTTCAATCATGGAGTCTCTATCAACTGTTGGAGTTCCCAAATCCGAGGCAAGCGAGAAGGTGTAATCCAGTCTAACAAGTGGGGTTCTGTTTAAGATAAAGTGAAAAGTAAAGGACCTTTGCCCTTACAACTATAGGCATCTCCTTTGTAGGATGCAATTTTTCGTTATTTTGAAGCCCCACACTGGCTCTTGCCAGGGGCCGCAATAAGGCCCGGCAATAAATATGGTCTGGAGGCTGAACGCGGTTTCTGGGACCTCTTTACGGGTGATCCTTATCCGCATGGTGGCACTTTGTTTCACTGGGTTTTTATGGCTTATGTGATGTCCTGGCGGGGTACAATGTACTTCTACTACTACTATTACCTTTTTCCACGCCTCCAAATGTATTAGGCATACAGGGCTAGGCCTTTATATCATAGAACTATTAGCACTCGGTAGGTGATGTGGACAACATCCCTCCGGCCGCCTTTACCTCCCAGGACTTTACCTGGTACCCATTTATGGCTGTGATTTATTAAAATGATCCGTCTCTGTTAGGATTTGAACCCACTACCTTTGGATTTACAAGTTAACATTGGCTCCCCTGTGTGAATATAACAATAAAAAACTAAAATATAAAGTACCCCTTTCCTGCCTTAGACACAACAAGTATTTGATGTTTGCCGTGAGTGACCAAAAGCTCCGTTTTCACCTGGACAACCTCAAGATTTTGGTGTCTCCTGACCATCCCCTCAAAAAATGTCCAATTGTCCCATCTCATGAAAATCTTGAAAGAAGCTCGAAAATAGAAAGTATATCGACAGTAGTTTAAAAAGTTAGGCTGAACATATACAAACTGAAAGGGAAGAGATAGAAATATATATGCAGACTATATACTACATTACTGGGGCCAGTAAGAACAAGGCAAACAATGCTACCGGAAACAAACGTTTTAGTATTGATTAATTAGTATGGTTTACACAATGTGTTGGCTTGTATTCTGATGTTCTTGAACTGTATTAGTTCCGTAATAACTACTACTACTGTTACTACTCATCATCGTGTAGCAGGTCCTTTGCAGAAAGTCGCTCTCATTACAGTCTGCCTGAAAGAAACTCGGTCTCTCGCCAGTTCTTCCGCCTCATGCACTTTCACACTCAAGGAGTCACTTATATCCTGTGCCCATCTTCGTATCGGTCGGCCCCTGCCCCTCCTTCCTGGTACCATGCCTTCTGCTATAGTTTTTTTCCAATCCGTCGTGGTGCTTGATAAGACCAACATATTTCAGCTTCCGAGACAGGATGCTGTTTATTAGTCAATCTTCCTTGATGTTCAAATCTTCTAAGATGTCAGTATTTCTCATCTTTTTTGTCCAAGATATTCTGAGAATCTTTCTATAGCATTTCAGCTCAAAAGCCCCTATTTTCTTTCTCAAGGACTGAGAGATAGTCCACGACTCACATCCGTATGTAGCCACAGGCAAGATGCATACTACTACTACTACTACTACTACTACTACTACTACTACTACTACTACTACTACTACTACTACTACTACTACTACTACTACTACTACTACTACTACTACTACTACTACTACTACTACTACTACTACTAATAATAATAATAATAATAATAATAATAATAATAATAATGTTTTAAATTCTTGAATTTTGAGGAGGAGAAGAAGAAGAAGAAGAAGAAGAAGAAGAAGAAGAAGAAGAAGAAGAAGAAGAAGAAGAAGAAGAAGAAGAAGAAGAAGAAGAAGAAGAAGAAGAAGAAGAAGAAGAAGAAGAAGAAGAAGAAGAAGAAGAAGATGAAGAAGAAGAAGAAGAGAAAGAAGAAACATGGGGGAAGAAGAAGAAGAAGAAACAACAACAACAATAACAATAACAACAACAGCAACAACAACAACGAGATAAGTGAATGAAGACAATGAACTCACCCATCCTGATCAAAATACATATCATTGTCATCCACGACCACCGAGTGACAGCAAGACACCTCTGTGAACAAAAACATTGTATACCCGCATACAGAATATGGCACAGTACACGCATACAGAATATGGCACAGTACACGCATACAGAATATGGCACAGTACACGCATACAGAATATGGCACAGTACACGCATACAGAATATGGCACAGTACACGCATACAGAATATGGCACAGTACACGCCTAGAGAATATGGCACAGTACACGCATAGAGAATATGGCACAGTACACGCATACAGAATATGGCACAGTACACGCATACAGAATATGGCACAGTACACGCATACAGAATATGGCACAGTACACGCATACAGAATATGGCACAGTACACGCATACAGAATATGGCACAGTACACGCCTAGAGAATATGGCACAGTACACGCATAGAGAATATGGCACAGTACACGCCTAGAGAATATGGCACAGTACACGCCTAGAGAATATGGCACAGTACACGCATACAGAATATGGCACAGTACACGCATACAGAATATGGCACAGTACACGCATACAGAATATGGCACAGTACACGCATACAGAATATGGCACAGTACACGCATACAGAATATGGCACAGTACACGCATACAGAATATGGCACAGTACACGCCTAGAGAATATGGCACAGTACACGCATACAGAATATGGCACAGTACACGCATACAGAATATGGCACAGTACACGCATACAGAATATGGCACAGTACACGCATACAGAATATGGCACAGTACACGCCTAGAGAATATGGCACAGTACACGCATACAGAATATGGCACAGTACACGCATAGAGAATATGGCACAGTACACGCATACAGAATATGGCACAGTACACGCCTAGAGAATATGGCACAGTACACGCATAGAGAATATGGCACAGTACACGCATACAGAATATGGCACAGTACACGCATACAGAATATGGCACAGTACACGCATACAGAATATGGCACAGTACACGCATAGAGAATATGGTACAGTTCACGCATACAGAATATGGCACAGTACACGCATACAGAATATGGCACAGTACACGCCTAGAGAATATGGCACAGTACTCGCACACAGAATATGGCACAGTACTGAGACTGAGAAACATAGATTTAAGAAAGAAAAAGTAAATTACAAGGAAGAGTAAATACTAGTTAAAAGTCATAATTTATGTTATAGAAGTTTTGAGCACGAATTATGAAATACATTTCAGAAATAAACAATTAACTACAAACAGGTATATTGAAAAATTCTAAAATAATATTAGTAACAAACATACATGGTATTTATTGTGATTATTTTTTACCGACTGGCTGAAAGATGGACAATAATATTGATTAACTGTCTGTTGAATGGCTATGATGAATCCTGGACAATTAAAACAGAAGCCAAACAATTTCTAGAAGCCTTGGAGAAGAGGTTTTTACAGAAAAAACCCATTTAATTCCTTGGGCAGTAATTTAAAAACTATATATATACATAAAGCAACCAATGTGTTTTTAAAGAGGCGAGTGTTCGAAGGCAACTTGGCAGAAGCATGAGAAAAAGGCAGTCATCATTTTTTGTTGTTGGTCATGTTATGAAAAGAAGGAAACTGGAACATATGACAACTGGAAATATCTGTGGAAAAAGAGACGGAGGAAGATAATGTGAGCCGATTCTTGGCCGCCTTTTGTCATGGCATAGATGGGTGTTAACACACAAACTGATACATGCTGTTGAAAATCGCAGGTTATGGAGAAGCACGATCACCCACGCCAGTCGGCAAGGTACTTGAAGATAATGAGAGAAAGAAACAATAGTGGAATGGAAGAGTTCACAAGTAGTCTTTCTATTAAATGGACTGATAGAATTGGCAATTATGCCAGTTACGGAAGACTATACACTTCATGCTATGTCCTTTTTTATTTCAACATTCCGTAACGCAAAATCAGCCAGTCTGTCGGCTTGTTCATTTCCCAACACATCAGCATGACCCAGAGGGAGAAAAAAAAATTCCAAACGACCTCTCAAATGCATCATCCAAGTTTGCATGTAACATGCCTGTCTTCAACTTTCTCAGCAGGAAACAACATAACGTTACCATGACAACTCATCAAACAATGAGCACAGAAACATCGAAACAACTTCCCATGGCTACTGAACGTTGGTACAAGGATCATACCATAGAAGAGACTGGGGCTTCTTCTTCTTCTTCATATAGTCCGTGTCATGCGGACAAGGTAGTCATTTCTATCCACAACCTTCTGTCTCGTGTTCTTTCAATCAGCTCTGACAAAGTTGATCATCCATGCCATGATGTCAAACTGCCCAACATCTCTCTCTGTATGCCTCTCTCCTCTCTACCTTCCCTGCTGTCACAATGTGCTACAGTTTTTCTCCTTGTTATGACAGGACCAACTAATGTAGACTGTCTCCCTCTAATTTGGAAAATCTGTTATTTTTGTGAGTTAATTGCTTTGAAGACATCTTCATTACAATTTTTTTTTTATCTGCCCAGGGAATTTTCATCATTTGTCTGTAAATTTAAAACTTTGAATTAAAACTTTATCTCTGCAGCTTCCAAATAATGTATCAATAATCTAACAAGTCTCCATGATTTACTCCTAAATAGCAGGATAGGATTTATATAGCTTTTATGAATTCTCTTTCACATCCCAACAAACAAGGAAAGATTGCATAGAATATTCTTCCCATTGTAAAACGTCTATAAAATCACATTTCTGCAGATTCTATTTAAGTGTTCCCTAATTGACCAACTGTCTGTGTTTCACCTATGTAAATGACGATACAGTTTACATAGTCTTTGAGATTTCTCTGTCTTATATCAATTGACACAGAAAGAATGCATAAAATACTCTTACCTTTGTAAAATGCTGTCTTTGCTTGAGCTGTTCTATTGGGGCCTCACTACTTAAGATTTCTAAAGACACAATTGATGCACTATAGTCATTATGCATTGTGTATAAGGCAGTATTACAAAAAGAAGACGTGCAATCCCCTGTAGTCACAACATTCAACGCTTACCTGGCTGGCTGGACCTGGCCAGGGAGTCCGTGACAAGTTGGACTAATCTGGGATAATCTGCTGGGGTAATTGGCCCTGTGATGAACACTTCACCTGTGGGGGGAGACATGACACTTGTCGTTATGTGAACATTTATATGTGTGAGTGTGAATCTATGTGATGTGTGTAGCTTATGTGTAGGTACTGAAGTTGGCAATATGAATGTTTGTGATTTGTTTGTATAGCTTGTGTGTAGGTACTGACGGGACAATATGTGTGTGAATGAATGTGATTTGTGTGTATATAGCTTGTGTGTATGTACAAAGTGGAGCAGTGTTTGTATGTTTATGTATACTAGACTTAAAGTTAAGTTAGTGTTAAAAAAATCAATGTTTAATATCCTATATTTCTTTTACAGAAATGAAAGTAACTAGGCACATAAATAACATCCGATAGAAGATGTGTCAAAGAGATACAGAATAGAATAGGACAGGCCAAACTACATTTAACAAAATGAAGAACATTTTATGCAAACAATCCAGGTCATTGGAGGTTAGGAAACGAATTCTCTCATACTATATGGAACCACTTTCAATGGACAATTCATAAACAAACCCAACAATATCTTTTGGGCCGCAGAGATGTGGTTTTACAGAAAAATCCCTTGAATTTCTTTTATTAACTAAGAAGAGCAAACCAGATGTGTTGAAAGAGGCGAATGCTTGAAGACAACGTATCACAAACATCAGAAAGAGAGTCATCTTTGTTTTGGGTTTTGTTATGAGAAGAAGGAAAATGGAACATGTTGTGACCACTGGAAAGATCTGTGGAAAGAAAGACAGGGGAAGACAGCAGGAGAAGATTCTTGATAGTCTTTTGTAATGGGATAGAGGGGTGTCAACACAAAAAACAGATACAGGTCGTTGCAGATTGTGGACAGGCATAATTGCCCACGCCAAGTCAGCAAGGCACTTGATGACGATGATGATACCCATCTTTGCAGAAGTCGGTGTCCTACTCGTTTTCTGAAAACTATACCTTCCATCACCTGTCTCTCCCGACAGCCTTGACATTCAACAGGACTAGAATATTTAAACTTTCAGGACAAGATGCTGTTTATGAGCCAGTTCGTCTCATGTTCAGGTTAAGTAAGTCTTACTATAACTAAAAGAACTGATATGTGTATGTACAAGTGTTTGCAAAGTGTCTGTTTGTGTTAGTGACAATCTGATGACAAAGAACACCGATAATCTAATAACACAGAACACAATCAAAGAACACGTACCTAATGTTCTTGAAAGAGTTGGTGGCCTTGTCGTGGTGCTGAGTTCAAGTTCCAAATCAACAGTGGTAGTTGCCCATGGTGATGCTGTTGCTGAGGTTGTTGTGGATGATGGCAAGACCGATGCAGCAATGGCTAGTGAAGTGTCTAAAAATTCTGTGAAGACGGGCACTGAAGGTTGCACAGACTCGGTGGGAGAAGTGGACTGCTCCAATACAGAGGTTAGACTGTCCATCGCCCATGTTGCCGGTTGTACTGTTGCCAGAGTGACTGTTGTATCTGTGATTGTAGATGTAACGATGGATATATCTCGCGAGGCTAGATCCATGTCTGTGATTATGGATGTAGCAATGGATATATCTCGCGAGGCTATAGCCAATGGGATAGTGGCTGTGGGTGTTGGCGTGAGGTGTTGTGAAATAATAGCAGTGTTGTCAACTGGAAATCCAGACATTTCTGATGAGGTCAATATTGCTGATGATGTCAACATTTGTGATGTGGTCATCATTTCTGATGTGGTCATCATTTCTGATGAGGTAAACAATGATGATGAGTTAAAAGATGAGGTCAACATTTCTGACAAGGTCAACACTGCTGATGAGGTCGCAATTGCCGAAATAGGTAATATCGCTGGTAAAGTCGCAAATGAAGATGTGTACTGCGATGATGTGGTGTATGTAGCAAACGTGTCTGACTTTGTAAACGAATCAGATGTAGGTACGTATGCCCCTCTCACAGATTCCACTGCAGCAGACGGCAAGATGGTTGGGCCAGCGGTCAGCACGCTGTTGTCATCCAGGGAAGGTGTGCTTGCAGATATGTGTGTATTTGTTGACAAAACAGCTGCTGTTGGCATGACGGTTGCTGTTGATGTTATGACAGCTGTTGACAGCTCTTTACTATCTACTCTGCCACCTGACACTGTAGCACTATGTCCTGGCAAGAAAACTGAAGCAGAATTCACAAGTAACGGTTCCAATGCAAACCCAGCTGAAGATGTTATAGACAGGGAAGAACCAATTGCCTCAAAGGATGCTTTAGCAGAGACCGCTGGGTATTGGATCAGTGTGTCATCGGCTTGTGGCGAGGCGGTTCTACTGACAGCAATGAATTTACTGATGTCTAGTGACGCTCGAAGATCACTTGAAATTGCTTCAGCTGCACTGCCCATGTTTGACATCTCAACTGGGTTGAGTGTTACTGAATGTCCAAGTCTGGTTGTATCTGATAAATTGATTACTGTCGATCCCTCAAAGAGTTCTGATGTTTTGCCTCCAGCGGATGTTTGAATGTACTGGGTAGCAGAAGGTTCAAGTGGGTACACAGATGCAGACAGGTCAGCCAGGGAAGGCAGCACATTATTTGCGGGAAATGACACTGTGCTAGACTGGTCCTGAAGCTGCGCACTGACCGCTGTGTATGAATCGGTCATCGTGCCGAGATCAGAAGCTGAGCTAGACACTAGGCCATGCAGTCTGGACGTGTCTCCACGGACGGTTGTATCTGAGTAAGTGATCGTGTGGACTTCAGATGAGTCAGATGCTGGAGCATACAGACTATAGGCGACCCCAGGAGCAGCGGTGTCGACTGACAGTGTGTAAGGCATTGTGTTCATGACGGTGTATGGAGCAAGACTTGATGGTATTTCTCTGTTGATGTCTATAGTCCTCCACATATTATCTTCAGATCTGGTTCCACGTAGACTCATTGAATCAGTTACGCCAGATGTTTCTGTTGTCCCCAGTAAGGGACCCCACTGGGTTCTGTGAAGTTGTCACCCCCACAGTTTGTGGCATTTCAGATATCCCTGATATGTCAGTAGCTGCAGCTGTAACACTGGTGGCTGGAATCTGGCCAATTATAACTTCAGTCATCGAACCCGTGACGTACACGTCTGGGTGTAGGATAGTTGTATCCGCTGCCAATGTATGTGAGGTCTGGACATTAGATACGCCAGCTGTTGGTGTCTCTCTGAGATCAGTGAAGATTTGCTTGGTACTGGTGAATGTTTCTGCCTCAGCAGCCAGGCCTATTGTAGCAGACGTGTAGAAACCCCCGCCATCTACCAGAAATGTTTCCGATGTTATGATTGCCGGTGCTGTCCCTGGAGGCACAGTCCAGCTAGATGCTTCTACTGCAGAAAGTGTGGTCAGGACTACACTGTGCTGATCTGAAGCGGTGCCTGCATTCTCTAAAGCTGTTTCACCGACTGTAACCAGCGATGGCGGCACGGTTGACACTGTCTGCGGTATAAACAACTCAACTGTATCCTTCTGTTGTATAGATGTAGACATGATCACACCGTCACTAACAGATGTCGCAGAGATACCCACATCAGTGGCTGTTTTTATGTTCAGATCCAGTGGACTTTGTGAGATCTTAAGATCATGTAAAGAGTTTGGTGTCTGCACTGTTTGAATATCAATAGTGCTGCCTTCTTTTAGAGAAGCTTGTATTGCTGGTGTCTGCACTGTAAACTTATCATTAGAGGCGCCTCCTTCTTGGGTAACTTGTATTAGTGGTGTCATGTCCGTTACTGTTTGTACACTTCCGGACATATATTGCTCATGGAGGTTTTCTGCAGTAGCCGTTAGCTGTGGATATGCCTGAGTTTGAAAAAAAGTCACTGCAGATGAAGCCTCAAGTTGTGTTTTGGATGTGCCGAACACCAGAGAAGTCTGACTTTGAAAATGCGTAACACCGATGTCTTCTACTAAATCGCCAGAAACACTTGTGAAGGCAAGGAGGGATTCTATCATTCCAGACCGATCTTCGCGCTTGCGGTATAGGTAGACGAGGCGGATATCTCCAAATCTGGGTTGGTGCTGGCATGTATGTTTGTAGATGTGAAACTTGCTTCCATGTTGGAGGCTTCATCGGGTAAAGATGCTATGCGCGTAGGAGATTGATTAGTTAATGAAAAAGTTTCAGATGTACTCATTGTATCTTCAATGCTGAAGATGCTGTCGGATGGTGCAGAAATGTACGTGGACGGGAGATGTGATGTCAAGGTTGTGACCTGGTCCAAGGTCTCACAGAACTGACCCATATTTGCACGAGGGCATCTGCAGGGGCTGCCAGAGCTGCCGAAGTCGCAGCTGCCTCCGTTGAAGCAGAAATAAGATTCACACCAAACAGGGGAAGCAGTTGTGGTATCAGGCCATGGAGATGATGAGGACATTGTTGGCAGCTGAGAGCTGTGACGTGTTGGGAGTAATGTTACTGTGGTCGATGATATCTCCTTATCATTAGACGACGCTAATAACTCCTCAGATAGGGATGACGATGATGGCGATAAATGAGGGAAGCTGTATGCTGTTGTAGAGCTTACGTCAACAGAAAATGGCAGTCTGGAGTCAGGGACTGACACCTCACAATGTTTTCCTGTGTAGCCTGCTGCACAATGACATACATACCCTGACGTGAGATCAGCACACACCCCGTGTTCTCCACAAGGTGAGCTGTTACACGGTAGCTCTTCTACCTGGCACAACAGCCCTGTGTATGGAGCCCGACAACAACATCGTTGATTAAAACAAGATCCTCCATTCAGACATCCTGCTCCAACAATTGGACATTGAGGATCCAATGAATGAGCAACTGCCCGCTGGTTACAAAAGTCACCACTCCATCCTGACCTACATATCTTGGCGCCTGTATTTGGGTCACAAAAGAAATGGCCGCCACATGAATCGTCTTCTAAACAGATCACAGAGCAGTTGCCTCCATAGAAACCAAGAGCACAGTTGAAGTTTGACGGAAATTGTGAGACATAATTCTCACAGATCTTGCCATAGTATCTCCCCGAGCACAGACACATGAATTCGCTGGTACCATTTTGAAGACACATACCTCCATTCTGACACGGTGCTGATGAACATGGGTCCCTAGATGGATCTGGAATAGCTGTGGTTGAAACCTCAGAAGAGTTGTCCACCACAACTTCTTCGCAGTTAAGACCGGAAAACCCTGGCCGGCAATCGCAGGTGTAAGCGTTAATTTCATCACTGCAGACCCCGCCATTCAAACATGGGTTACTTTCACATTCCAATATTTCAATATGACACAAAGATCCCGTGTAACCTGGCAAGCAACAGCAAGTTCCATTGAGGCAGGTTGCGCTGTTCCTGCAAACGCTGTTTGGACACGGCTCTTTGTGTTTTGTACTTGGATCTGGCTGGTCACACAGAGCACCCATCCACCCAAACATACAAACTTTCTGACCTGTCTTCTCATCGCAGTAGAACTGTCCCGTCTCAGAGCCACACCCATACTGGGGCAGACAGTAGACATCGCAGACAGCACCATAGAAATTCGCTGGACAGTTTCTGTTGGGGTACAACATGGTCTCGCAATATTCTCCCGTGAACATCTCTCTGCACTGACATCTAGCGCCTGTAACATCCTCAAAACATGTACCTCCGTTCATACATGGACTACTTGGACAAAACACTGCCTCCAGGTTACACAGGGCACCAGTGACACCGACCGGGCAGCAACAACCATCTCGGAAACAATATCCTCCATTCTGGCATTGACATTGAAGGTCGGGCTGCTCTGGGGCAGTACAGTTGGATTCTGGGGTCCAACCAGGCAAGCAGACTTGCTGACCGGTAAATTGTATCACAGGTGAAGTGTCCCGAGCAATCGTCCGTGGCTTTACAGTAAGTCGTGCAGGTGGGCCCGTAGTAATTTCCATGACACCGTCTTGGTGCAGGTGGAGAAACTTCTGATGCTGTAGTTGCTGTTGTGGTTAACTTCGTAGTGCTAGATGTTGTCGTAGTTGTGGTTAATTCGCTGGTTGTTGTCGGTGAAGTTGTAGTTGGGGGTATCTCACAAAAGTCTCCAGTGAAGCCGGTAGAGTCACATAGACAATAGAAAGTTCTGGTTGGTAAGAGAGACAATTATTACTGATGCCAAAGGAAAGTTAAAAGCATGTATACAGTTGTTACTATTGAATACCAGCAGCCAGTATAATACCATTGTTACAGAAGTTGTAGTTGGGGGTATCTCACAAAAGTCTCCAGTGAAGCCGGTAGAGTCACATAGACAATAGAAAGTTCTGGTTGGTAAGAGAGACAATTATTACTGATGCCAAAGGAAAGTTAAAAGCATGTATACAGTTGTTACTATTGAATACCAGCAGCCAGTATAATACCATTGTTACAGAAGTTAACTGAGGACTAGAATCCAACATTATCAGCTTCCATCCATTAATATTATTGTTAGCCATATATTGATCCATTATTATCACCATCATTAATATCATGATCATTTCCGTCATTATCACCATTATCACCATCATAATGAACATTGTCACCATCATCATTACCATTACTATCATCATTATCATTGTTATCACCCCTATTATCACCATCATCCACATTATCATCATCACCATTATCATCATCACCACTATCATCATCATTATCATTATCATCATGATGGCTGCTACCATCATGATTATCACTTTTTTCACCGCCATCATCACCTTTATTCACCATTATTACCATTATCCCCATCATAATCAACATAGTCATCATCATGATCACTATCATCATCATCATTATCATCATTATCCCGTTATCATCACTATTATTACCATTATGAGCACCCTTATCACCACTATTATCACCATTATCATCATCACAATTATTATTATCATTACCATTATCAACATATTGGCTATCACCAATATCACCATCATCACCCCATCGTCACAATTGTCACCACACATGATCACTACAAGCATCACCCCATCGTCACAATTGTCACCACACATGATCACTACAAGCATCACCCCATCGTCACAATTGTCACCACACATGATCACTACAAGCATCACCCCATCGTCACAATTGTCACCACACATGATCACTACAAGCATCACCCCATCGTTACAATTGTCACCACACATGATCACTACAAGCATCACCCTATAGTCACAATTGTCACCACACATGATCACTACAAGCATCACCCCATCGTCACAATTGTCACCACACATGATCACTACAAGCATTACCTCATCGTCACAATTGTCACCACACATGATCACTACAAGCATTACCTCATCGTCACAATTGTCACCACACATGATCACTACAACCATCACTCATCATCACTATCACTACCATCCACACTGATGTAACGCTTCATGAGGTTGACACGCAGGAACTAGAATGCATTGAACTAGAACAACAGAAGAAGCAAAACTCACTCAAACTGGCGCAACTCCCGACACTCTCCGCCGTTCTGGCAAGGCGCATCACTGCAGGTTTGGGCCGTCTGGCAGCGATTACCTGTCCACCTGTGGGTGTAGATGTGGGAGCCTAGGTTTTACCAGAGATGTCAATACACACGGGTGGGAAAATGTTTATACACACAGGTGGGACAATGTTTATACACACAGGTGGGACAATGTTTATACACACAGGTGGGACAATGTTTATACACACAGGTGGGACAATGTTTATACACACAGGTGGGACAATGTTTATACACACAGGTGGGACAATGTTTATACACACAGGTGGGACAATGTTTATACAGACTCGTGGGGCAATGTTTATACAGACTCGCGTGGCAATGTTTATACAGACTCGTGGGACGATGTTTATACAGTCTCGTGGGGCAATGTTTATACAGACTCGTGGGGCAATGTTTATACAGACTCATGGGGCAATGTTTATACAGACTCGTGGGGCAATGTTTATACAGACGTGGGGCAATGGTTATGCAAACTCGTGGGGCAATGTTTATGTAGACTCGTGGACAAAATTTATGCAGACTCGTGGGCAATGTTTTCGCAGACAGGTGAGACAATGTTTATACAAACAAATATATCAATTTTTATACAGACAGATGGAATACTGTTTGTATAGACATATGGGGCAATGTTTATACAGGCTAGGGATACGGGGATTATACAAACAATGGGGACAATGTTTATACAGACAAGTAAAGCAATGTTATACCAACAAATGGGACAATGTGTGACAGACAGGTGAGACAATGTGTATATATACAGGTAGGACAATGCTTATAGATACAAGTGGGACACAGTTTGTACAGACAGGTGTGTCAATGTTTACACATACAGGTGGGACACTGTTTATACATACAGGTGGGACCATGTTTTAGACATAAACATGGGACAATATTTATACCTACAGGTAGGAAAATATTTATACACACACGTGGGACACTGTTTATAGAGACGAGGATGTCCCACCCACACAGGTGGGACAATATTTATACATACGGTTGGGACAAATGTTTATACATGCAGGTGGGACCAGATTTATACATACAGATAGGTCAATGTTTTTGCATACAGGTGGGCCAAAATTTATACAGACATGCGGGTCAATGGTCATACATATATGTGAGATGAATATTAATAGGACAGGTGGAAAAAAAATTTCATAGACAGATGAGGTAAAGATGTTTAAAGGCAAACTTTATACAGGCAGATAAACCATAATTTACAATAAAAGATGAATTGCTTATTAAGTAAATAAAAAGAGCTTTCGGCAATACAACACAAGATACACGGGCACAACACACACGCAACATACACACACACACACACACACACACACACACAGAATATACCCCAGTCTACAGTCACATCTGAAGTTGGGCGCTGCCTCCTGCACACAGCTGCCTCCATTCTGGCACGGGTGACTAGAACACTCGTCCACATCTTCATGACACCGGTCGCCCCTAAAGCCTGACCTACAACAGCAGTACACTTGTCCCGTCCCGTTCCCGCTGCTCACGCATTGTCCGTTCCCAGAGCAACGATCCTCTGCAAATATATCAATGTGCTTCGTTATTATTATTATTATTATTATTATTATTGTTGTTGTTATTATTATTATTATTATTATTATTATTATTATTATTATTGTTTCAACTGCCTGATGTCTAGAATGATGTTGATGATGACGATGATGATGACGGTGATGATGACGATGATGATGACGATGTTGATGACGATGATGGTAATGATGACGATGATGATGACGGTAATGATGACGGTAATGACGACGATGATGATGACGATGATGATGACGGTAATGATGACGATGATGATGACGGTAATGATGACGATGATGATGACGATGATGATGACGGTAATGATGACGATGATGATGACGATGATGATGACGGTAATGATGACGATGATGATGACGATGATGATGACGGTAATGATGACGATGATGATGACGATGATGATGACGGTGATGATGATGATGATTATGACGATGATGATAGTGATGACGACGATAACGACAACAATGAGGATGATAACGACAACGACAATGACAACGACGACGATGATGATGATGATGGTAAGCACGATGATGATAATGATGATAACGACGATGATGACGATCGATGATAAGACTAAACTGGATCCTACCACTAGAGCAGCCGTGATTGCCACCAACCGACAGGCTACAGTTGGGGCCGTCCCACCCGCTGATGCAGATCTTGTCCCCGGTACTTCTGTTGCAGGTGTAGTGACCGCCACAGTCGTTGGACGGCACACAGTTGACGTCACAGCGGTCACTGTAGAAGTACTGGTCACAGCGAGCCACTAGCGCCACGGTCATTCTGGCAGGATACGGGAATACAGAGACAGCTGTCAGGTACTGTTTGTGTTCAGGATTCTTCTTTTTCTTCTTCTTCTTCTTCTTCTTCTTTTTCTTCTTCTTCTTCTTCTTCTTCTTCTTCTTCTTCTTCTTCTTCTTCTTCTTCTTCTTCTTTTTCTTCTTCTTCTTCTTCTTCTTCTTTTTCTTCTTCTTCTTCTTCTTCTTCTTCTTCTTCTTCTTCTTCTTCTTCTTCTTCTTCTTCTTCTTCTTCTTCTTCTTCTTCTTCTTCTTCTTCTCTTCTTCTTCTTCTTCTTCTTCTTCTTCTTCTTCTTCTTTTTTCTTCTTCTTCTTTTTCTTCTTCTTCTTCTTCTTCTTCTTCTTCTTCTTCTTCTTCTTCTTTTTCTTCTTCTTCTTCTTCTTCTTCTTCTTCTTCTTCTTCTTCTTCTTCTTCTTCTTCTTCTTCTTCTTCTTCTTCTTCTTCTTCTTCTTCTTCTTCTTCTTCTTTTTCTTCTCCTTCTTCTCCTTCTTTTTCTTCTCCTTCTTCTCCTTCTTCTTTTTCTTCTTCTTTTTCTTCTTCTTGTTCTTCTTGTTCTTCTTTTTCTTCTTCTTCTTCTTCTTCTTCTTCTTCTTTTTCTTCTTCTTCTTCTTCTTCTTCTTTTTCTTCTTCTTCTTCTTCTTCTTCTTCTTCTTCTTCTTCTTCTTCTTCTTTTTCTTCTTCTTCTTCTTCTTCTTCTTCTTCTTCTTCTTCTTCTTCTTCTTCTTCTTCTTCTTTTTCTTCTTCTTCTTTTTTCTTCTCTTCTTCTTCTTCTTCTTCTTCTTCTTCTTCTTCTTCTTCTTCTTCTTCTTTCTTCTTCTTCTTCTTCTTCTTCTTCTTCTTCTTCTTCTTCTTCTTCTTCTTCTTCTTCTTCTTCTTCTTCTTCTTCTTCTTCTTCTTCTTCTTCTTCTTCTTCTTCTTCTCCTTCTTCTCCTTCTTCTTTTTCTTCTTCTTTTTCTTCTTCTTGTTCTTCTTGTTCTTCTTTTTCTTCTTCTTCTTCTTCTTCTTCTTCTTCTTCTTCTTCTTCTTCTTCTTCTTCTTCTTCTTCTTCTTCTTCCTCTTCTTCTTCTTCTTCTTCTTCTTCTTCTTCTTCTTCTTCTTCTTCTTCTTCTATTTCGAGTTCACTGGCTGTAAACTCTGAAGGAGAGTTATGTTTGTTTATCTACGTATGGTCTTAGGTCTTGCTCTATGAATTTAGTGCCTATTCGTACAAATCTGGTTTATATGAATGCAGACGGTTGGTTCCTGGCCTCTGAGACAGACGCACTCCGACTTCGAAGGAAGGCCCCAATTATTCGACTGCATGTTGGGAATCAGTGGGTCTATTCTTGTTTTCCCCCACAACGAGAACCCGGAAGCCACACAAGAAAGCACAAGAAGCGATTACTTACATCGTGGGTTGAACCAGCCTGTTGCCTGTGATATTGAACAGGCTATAGTTGCCACGATTGATGATCACCTGGTTCCGGAGCGGCGTGGAGCTGTAGAACCAGAACTGGCTGGTGTCGATGGGTTGTCGCTCGGAGGTGTCCATGTCATCCACGTAGAGGCTCACCAGGACTGATCCCTGGAAGAGAACAAACGTTATTTTTAATGGGTTAAGAATTAGGCACGCAGGCCCGTCTGACATTCTACCCTTTAAGTCTCCCTTCTTTCATACATCATTTCACTCGTACATTAAGTAATAGTTAAAAACTATCAACATTAACTAAATATTAAAGATAAGCACTGGAATGTGCACATTTCTAAACACAGTATCAATTTCCACTTCTGTCCCTAAGCGGCGTGGGGAGGAACAGTTTGCGATTCATTACTTGATGGGCAATAATGGCTATTGTCATTCTGTGTCAATCTGGAAACTTTTTAATGTCATCAGTCCATATTTTCCTAGGGCGACCTCTTAGTTTCACTTCACATCTTTTTATGTATAGCACCTGCGTTGGTAGCTGTTCTGGCTGCATTCTTTATATGACCAAACCATTTGATCTTCTGTTTCTCAATGAATTTACTTTATGAAATTGTTACTTCAGTCTGTCTGATAATATCGTTTCTAACTTTGTCTCGGATGGTTGAGTTGCCCCCTTTCCTCAGACATCTCATTTCATAGGTGTTAATTTTACGCAAGTTAGCCTTTGATAATGTCTAAGTCTGGCACTGGTAGCACGTGTTGGTATGAATAAGCTGTTTACAGTCTGTTTCTTGGCACTCAGACACATGTTTGGTTGTCTTAACAACGGTGTCAGTTGATATTTAAATGCACCGGCTTGTTTCTATTTTCCATAGATTTAAATTCTTTAACTTGCTTCAGATCATTACCATTCAGCCCGTTATGTTACGGACTTGGAAATCTACTGTCCTGCATTATTTCAGTTTTAATAGTGTGAGCTGTAGTAATTGTAACGAATTTAGTGGAGGTGTCAGCTATGGTAATTGTAATAAATCTATTGGAAGTGTAAGCTATAGTAATCGTAACGAATTTAGTGGAGGTGTCAGCTATGGTAATTGTAATAAATCTAGTGGAAGTGTAAGCTATAGTAATTGTAAAGAATCTAGGGGAGGTGTCAGCTATGGTAATTGTAATAAATCTAGTGGAAGTGTAAGCTATAGTAATTGTAACGAATCTAGGGGAGGTGTCAGTCATGGTAATTGTAATAAATCTAGTCAAAGTGTGAGCTATTTCTAAAATACTGGTATCTTTTCTGGGATGTTACAACATGTAGTGATACTACATAGGAACAGCAGAATAAGAAAACTAAAGAAAAACAGAAACACAAAATGTATTCAGGAAAGAAAATAAGTAGCACAAGGGAAAGCAGGAGAAGAAGGAGAAGAACAATATGATGCTGATCAATGAAATGGAAAGAAAAACTTCAGAAAATGTATAGGAAGAAATGAAGAAAACGAAGCAGTTGAATGAGTAGCAACAACAGCCGAAGCCGCCTCCACATTAGTAGTAGTAGCAGCAGTAGCAATAGTAGTAGCAGTAGTAGTAGTAAAAGTAGTAGTAATAATAATATTATTAATAGTAGTAGTAGTTGCAGCAGCAGTAGTAGAAGTAGCAGCAGCAGTAGTAGAAGTAGCAGCAGCAGTAGCAGCAGCAGTAGCAGCAGCAGTATTAGTAGTAGTAACGACAGCAGCAGTAATAGTAGTAGCAGCAGCAGTAGTAGAAGTAGTAGCATCAGCAGCAGCAGCAGCGGAAGTAGTAGCAATAGTGGATGTTTACTGCAGTAGCTATGCAGACTGTGTTGACAACAAAGCGATGGATAAGACCAGCTTATCGTCCAAACCAATAGACACCATACCAAAGAACACTTACTGGCCACGTCTGCAGGTCAAAAGATATCGGACTGTAAGTGCCATCTGGCGACTCTATGTAGTCCCGGCTAATTCTGGCCAACGAGCAAGGACTAGATTCACTGGAAAATAAATAAAAACCGTTTTGTTGAGTGAAATAATAAATACACGTACGCACCATCACGTCTGATAATTAACTATTCAAAGATATAGAAACTACTTGAACTCTACAATTGTTATATTGTTACATGGTTATCTATATAGATTTAAAAGCTTTACATCGTTTTGTGGTAAATTTTATTGATTTCAAAAGTGTTAACATCGTTTAGTGTCTCACTTTACGAATTGCTGCTTCTTACATCTTCCTCTTCCTTTTTTTCCCCTTCTTCTTCGACGACTACGGCTTAGGTGTTGCGAACGCGCTTCGTAATGCCGGGGTGCCACCACCCTCAATTAGTAACCTCTTACAACACGCACACGAGGGGGTAGGGGTCAATTCTATTTCTCCCCCTAATGTGGCCCCGTAATCTAGACGGGAAATATTAATTTTAAGTGTTACATAATCAAGAGGTCATCTATGTGGACTGAAATATTTCTTTTTTCTTCTTTCCGACACTACAAGGATAACGTAGAGCAGTAGTTCTCAATCTGTGGGTCGCGACACTTTTTGGGGTCGAACGAATCTTTCCCAGGGGTCGCAAAAGACCATCAGAAAGCACATATTCTAGGAAGTTATGAAGTAGCAAAGAAAATAATTGTATGGTTAGGGGTCGCCACAACATGAGAAACTGTATTAAAGGGTCGCCACAACATGAGGAACTGTATTAAAGTGTCGCCACAACATGAGGAACTGTATTAAAGGGTTGCCACAACATGAGGAACTGTATTAAAGTGTCGCCACAACATGAGGAACTGTATTAAAGTGTCGCCACAACATGAGGAACTGTATTAAAGGGTTGCCACAACATGAGGAACTGTATTAAAGGGTCGCCACAACATGATGAACTGTATTAAAGGGTCGCCACAACATGAGGAACTGTATTAAAGTGTCGCCACAACATGAGGAACTGTATTAAAGTGTCGCCACAACATGAGGAACTGTATTAAAGGGTTGCCACAACATGAGGAACTGTATTAAAGGGTTGCCACAACATGAGGAACTGTATTAAAGTGTCGCCACAACATGAGGAACTGTATTAAAGGGTTGCCACAACATGAGGAACTGTATTAAAGGGTTGCCACAACATGAGGAACTGTATTAAAGGGTCGCCACAACATGAGGAACTGTATTAAAGGGTCGCCACAACATGAGGAACTGTATTAAAGGGTCGCCACAACATGAGAAACTCTATTAAAGGGTCGCCACAACATGATGAACTGTATTAAAGGGTCGCCACAACATGAGAAACTCTATTAAAGGGTCGCCACAACATGAGGAACTGTATTAAAGGGTCGCCACAACATGAGAAACTCTATTAAAGGGTCGCCACAACATGATGAACTGTATTAAAGGGTCGCCACAACATGAGAAACTCTATTAAAGGGTCGCCACAACATGAGGAACTGTATTAAAGGGTCGCCACAACATGAGAAAAACTCTATTAAAGGGTCGCCACAACATGATGAACTGTATTAAAGGGTCGCCACAACATGAGAAACTCTATTAAAGGGTCGCCACAACATGATGAACTGTATTAAAGGGTCGCCACAACATGAGGAACTGTATTAAAGGGTCGCCACAACATGATGAACTGTATTAAAGGGTCGCCACAACATGAGAAACTCTATTAAAGGGTCGCCACAACATGATGAACTGTATTAAAGGGTCGCCACAACATGAGGAACTGTATTAAAGGGTCGCCACAACATGATGAACTGTATTAAAGGGTCGCCACAACATGAGGAACTCTATTAAAGGGTCGCCACAACATGAGGAACTGTATTAAAGGGTCGCCACAACATGAGGAACTGTATTAAAGGGTCGCCACAACATGAGGAACTGTATTAAAGGGTCGCCACAACATGAGAAACTCTATTAAAGGGTCGCCACAACATGATGAACTGTATTAAAGGGTCGCCACAACATGAGAAAACTCTATTAAAGGGTCGCCACAACATGAGGAACTGTATTAAAGGGTCGCCACAACATGAGAAACTCTATTAAAGGGTCGCCACAACATGATGAACTGTATTAAAGGGTCGCCACAACATGAGAAACTCTATTAAAGGGTCGCCACAACATGAGGAACTGTATTAAAGGGTCGCCACAACATGAGAAACTCTATTAAAGGGTCGCCACAACATGATGAACTGTATTAAAGGGTCGCCACAACATGAGAAACTCTATTAAAGGGTCGCCACAACATGAGGAACTGTATTAAAGGGTCGCCACAACATGAGAAACTCTATTAAAGGGTCGCCACAACATGATGAACTGTATTAAAGGGTCGCCACAACATGAGAAACTCTATTAAAGGGTCGCCACAACATGATGAACTGTATTAAAGGGTCGCCACAACATGAGGAACTGTATTAAAGGGTCGCCACAACATGATGAACTGTATTAAAGGGTCGCCACAACATGAGAAACTCTATTAAAGGGTCGCCACAACATGATGAACTGTATTAAAGGGTCGCCACAACATGAGGAACTGTATTAAAGGGTCGCCACACAACATGATGAACTGTATTAAAGGGTCGCCACAACATGAGGAACTCTATTAAAGGGTCGCCACAACATGAGGAACTGTATTAAAGGGTCGCCACAACATGAGGAACTGTATTAAAGGGTCGCCACAACATGAGGAACTGTATTAAAGGGTCGCCACAACATGAGAAACTCTATTAAAGGGTCGCCACAACATGATGAACTGTATTAAAGGGTCGCCACAACATGAGAAACTCTATTAAAGGGTCGCCACAACATGAGGAACTGTATTAAAGGGTCGCCACAACATGAGAAACTCTATTAAAGGGTCGCCACAACATGATGAACTGTATTAAAGGGTCGCCACAACATGAGAAACTCTATTAAAGGGTCGCCACAACATGAGGAACTGTATTAAAGGGTCGCCACAACATGAGGAACTGTATTAAAGGGTCGCCACAACATGAGAAAACTCTATTAAAGGGTCGCCACAACATGATGAACTGTATTAAAGGGTCGCCACAACATGAGAAACTCTATTAAAGGGTCGCCACAACATGAGGAACTGTATTAAAGGGTCGCCACAACATGAGGAACTGTATTAAAGGGTCGCCACAACATGAGAAACTCTATTAAAGGGTCGCCACAGCATGAGGAACTGTATTAAAGGGTCGCCACAACATGAGGAACTGTATTAAAGGGTCGCCACAACATGAGGAACTGTATTAAAGGGTCGCCACAACATGAGGAACTGTATTAAAGGGTCGCCACAACATGATGAACTGTATTAAAGGGTCGCCACAACATGAGGAACTCTATTAAAGGGTCGCCACAACATGAGGAACTGTATTAAAGGGTCGCCACAACATGAGGAACTGTATTAAAGGGTCGCCACAGCATGAGGGACTGTATTAAAGTGTCGCCACAACATGAGGAACTGTATTAACGGGTCGCCACAACATGAGGAACTCTATTAAAGGGTCGCCACAACATGAGGAACTCTATTAAAGGGTCGCCACAACATGAGGAACTCTATTAAAGTGTCGCCACAGCATGAGGAACTGTATTAAAGGGTCGCCACAACATGAGGAACTGTATTAACGGGTCGCCACAACATGAGGAACTGTATTAAAGGGTCGCCACAACATGAGGAACTGTATTAAAGGGTCGCCACAGCATGAGGGACTGTATTAAAGTGTCGCCACAACATGAGGAACTGTATTAACGGGTCGCCACAACATGAGGAACTCTATTAAAGGGTCGCCACAACATGAGGAACTCTATTAAAGGGTCGCCACAACATGAGGAACTGTATTAAAGGGTCGCCACAACATGAGGAACTGTATTAAAGGGTCGCCACAACATGAGGAACTCTATTAAAGGGTCGCCACAACATGAGGAACTGTATTAAAGGGTCGCCACAACATGAGGAACTGTATTAAAGGGTCGCCACAACATGAGGAACTGTATTAAAGGGTCGCCACAACATGAGGAACTGTATTAAAGGGTCGCCACAACATGAGGAACTGTAATAATGGGTCCCGGCATTAGGAAAGTTGAGAACCACTAACGTAGAGGAAAGAAACAAAGAATAGATCACTTTTTCACACTTTTAGGCGCATTGGGCATATGAGAAGAGCACCCATATTTTTACAGACCAATCGGCACTAGGTGGGTAATGTGGTCAGCATTACGCGGCCGTCTTTACTTCCCCAGGACAGCCATCCTGGTACACATTTTAGGCTGGGGTCGACCTGCGACGCCCCATACCATGATAAATCCACGCAGCCAGCAGTGGGTTTCGATCGCGGTACGTTTGAATTACGAGTCAGACTCGCAACGCCAAAGCCACAAACGCCGCTAACGTCGAAGAAGGGGAAATGAATTTTCCTACCATCTGTTGGTTAACGAATTGTAACAATCCATCGTGGCTGTGCTGCCATCAAGGAGTGTCTATAAGTCAACAAAAATGTTTGCAGTCAGTACGTGCACTGCAAATTGCCAGGAATTGCTAGTGTCAACAAAGATTACTTTTGATCCATTTATAGCCTGGATACATTCTGATAGAGCACCGTCATCGCCGCCGCCCGCACCCATGGTGTACCAGTTTCCAGAGCTGTGTGTTTGGGGAACCTGACTTATGACGTAGATGATTCTACAGGCTGTACCATTCACCGCTCTTTGAGAAGGCAAGTCGTTTCTCTGATGCTATCAATCCTTATACCCTTGCGTGTGTATTCATCAAACACAGAGTGACCTCACTGAACCCCACCTGAATGTGTATTTTAACAATTTCAAACTACCCAGCCCGTTGAAGGAAATCAACGTCTCTCGCGTCTTTCTTTTATTTTCTTTCTTCTTGGCGTTCACTGGTTATAAACCGTGGTGGAAAGTTCTGGTTGTTCGCCCACTTCTGGACTTGAGTTGTTGTTTTTTTTAAAATGAGCTTTGCGCGTTCATCCGTTTTACACATCT